TTGTAAATAAAAGCCAAATCACTGGTCTTACCTCCACTTTCCTTCCAACAGTCAACCCTAACCCTAACCCAGTCGACCGGCAATGATGCATAATTACCGTACACTGCATATTGTAATATCTAAACCTGCCCAAGCCATTTAGTCCCCTAAATTACCTGGAAAATAACCTTTAAAGCCAACTCAAGAAAGGCACTGATCCCCTACAGCCCACTTCCTATGCTTGACCTCGACATTTTCATAGGACAGGCTAAGAGAGTTTGGAGTTCATCTACTGACTCAAACATTTTGTTGCAATTTTCTGTTGTTGTAAACTCTAACTATGGCCTTTAACCTTAACGTTAACAAGTGCTTTAATTGTTACCATGACAACACAGGTCACCTAAATATTTGGAAGAAGCAGATGTAACAGCTGTTACCAGGCATGAAAATGTAACTAAATTTGTCCTTTCCTGCACATCTAAAAGTCAGGAAATGCAACAGCTTCAAAAGACTTTTCAAAGAAGCTTAAAATCTGTGGACAAAGCATGTATTTAATAGTGGTCTACTATTTATACACCATGACATCAGATCACATTGGATAATGCTAGGACACATCACGACTGTTGTCCATGACTTCATGAATGAACCCTTCACAAAACCATTATTTTGTTTACATGAGCATTTGCAGCTCCAGGGGGCTTAAACTTAAGTGACTTTAATCTTTACCCTACTACAGTATATGAGCAGATTTTTATCAGAGATTATGTTAGATCACCCCTCACATATAAACACTTGAACTTGACAGTAGATGTAAAACTCAAAAATGATTATGACGCTGCAGGCCAAGTAAAGTGGATAACACAGATAATCAGCCCCGAGTGGATTTTCTCAGAGAGGACCACTAAGATGAACATGACTAATATTAGACCACAGCCCTGTCCCTCGACTTCCTCAGCTCTTTGAGAGAAGGTTAAAACATTGGAGCTGACTGGACATTCATAAATCTTTTAAGTTGTTTTGGCTTGCTGCTCTAGAAAGGCAAAGAGCTTAGAAAATGGTTCGACATTTGTGATATAGATATTATGATGTACCAGGATGTTCACTTGTTAGCTTGAGGCTAACACATAATAATGGAAACTCATCGAATACTTTTTTAACTTTTACATCGAAAGAAGTTTTGATAATGTAAAGAAAAATCTACATTTTAATACAGTTAAGCCTCAAAGCCTCACCATACCAAATAACAGAGTCAAAGTTAGGATGACAACTGTTTCTTTGCTAGCCTGTAACCATTAAGCTTGTTGTTTTTTAAAGAATGAATTAGTATAGCGTTAGCTTAAAGTAACATTTGTCTTGCTATCAACCAGGCTAAACCTAACACATCTTTCCTGCTTCAACAGTTTAAGATAGTTGTCTAGCCATATTACACTATCTTTAGTAATGTTATCCATTTACAAGGAGTTTTTCATAAAATAAATGTTTTTTTGTGTTTTTTACGAACAGATGCCAAAATGTAAAGCTGCCTTTTGTTGTTGAAGCCTCTGTTGGTTTTGTAATTCATTATTCAGAAAGAATCAACTTTAGTGTAATGATTGAAGGATTCATGCTTTTAGTTAACAGAGGCACGATCAAACAAATATATATTCTATACGCTATAATATGGATTCTTTTAATTTGTATGAAGACAATTATGTGTACAAAATTGTTTGTTATTAAATATTATTGAAGAAGAAGTTGTGACACATCATGAATGAAAAGCCTTCAGGTAATCACATCCCCACATCTTTAGTGTAATAGCTTCAGACAATAAAAATAACAGCAGAGGTGTGATTTGCTGTTCCTGACTCTGCTGGCCAGAGTCACCCAGTCTCTGCTCCTAATGAAATAACCTCTTCTGACAGATGGCAAGCACCACTTTCCCTTTGTTGCATAATTTAAACTGACCTCTCTAATTGGACAATGATTCAAGTCATCAGCCTTCGAGAGAAGGTCAATCTTGTAGGAATCAAATCATGGCTGAGTCTGAAAAGTATTTGTTTATCTTTGGAAAATATCAAAGTCACTCAAAAATACAATGAGGCTCAAGATATATATTATTAACATAATATGAGACTAAGCTACAGGACTACATTTTATTTTTTATGCAGAAATACTGCCTAAATTTCACAACAACTATGCATTATCTCAAGGTTATTTTAGACTTAAATTAGATGATAACACATAAAGGGGAATTTCTGTTTTTATTTGATCTTCATCCTACCAGAACAAAACAAAAAGTCCTTGACCTTAGTTTCCCTAACACCTGCTCTGTGACTTTGACCCTAATCCAGAAGGATTAGGGTCAGGGTCCCATCCTTGAACGACCAGGTCTCATTACACAACAAATTCAAGTGTAAGAGAGGACATAGTCTAAAACCTTTTTGATACATAGCTTTGTCATATTAGTCTACCTTGGAAGGTCTTGAATGTCGTAAAAATCCAAACAAATTTCGGTGTGGGAGTAGTTTAGTCATTTTTAACATACTAATAGATGTGAAGATGATTTGAAATTGTAATCTTACAACCAAACCACAATAAAATCAGGCTGTACAGAATGAACCCACTGTCTCACAAAAATACTTAATATTATTTGCAATAGAACCATCACCTTGATTACAGTACATTCAACATTCTTAAGCATCATTTCCAGGAAATTCATATTTTTTGGATGAAGAAATTCATTTTTATTCCAAACAACCTTTCCCAAATAGATCAGTGAATACAAACACAACAAGGAGGAAAGCAGCTCAATATTCTCAATAATTATATATATAATAATAACATAAACATCCCACCAGCTCTACCTAAGGTGTTGGTATATTTCAGTTTGTTTTCAGCATTTACCACCCCAAACTTCACCACCCAGACTGCAGGTAGGACCAGTGAGTGACCCTTTGGTGAACCAAACCAGTCTCATGGCAGTTTGTCAAATAGTTACAAAAAACAATCTGATTCATGAGCATGTACAAGAATGTTATAAATTTTTGTGTGAACTAACCATGACCTCTTAAAACCAGACAACCTGGTGGTAAGGTTTTCTGCCAGAAAGCTCTTTGGCCCAGGAGTGGGCTGTTTGTGTCTCGTGTGAAACCAAAGGTCAACGTGACTAGCTGCAGTTTGATTAGTTTTTGGCACCCAGAATTCTTGGTAAGGTTCACAAAAAGATTATAGTTTGGGTTTACATAATAAGACAACAGTGACCTTTGGGTTCACATGGAACACAAATCTGCTCTCCTGGGTGAAAATCCTGTTTGTTCAACGTCTGTACTCGGACTTTGTCACTCTTCATATTACATAACGAGAGTTCCCCAAAACTGTAGAAGAAGCAGCTGCGACAAATACTCTGATTGAATTCATTAGTTTGAAATGCATGCTCATGTGCATGCAAAAAATAAAACTCATGGCGGCATACATATCTGTAACATTTTGGGACTATTTCAAAGTCTGCGGTGGAGCTATATGGGATAACATAGCTTGTTAAATTGAGCAGCTAAAGAGCACTAAGCAATTATGAGTTTACATGTTAGTCCTGGCCAAAGGTGATAAAATAGAGAACGTGGTTGTGATGTGCAGCTTGTTCTGTCTCCGAATGGTCCATACAAACTGTTGTAATATTGGTTTGAAACGTGTCACTCAAAGTAAGCGACACTCATTAGTTCAAAGTTCAGATTACGCTCAAACTGGCTGGTTGGATTATCTTGCTCTTGTAGGGGCTTATTTACAGCAGCAAATTGTTACCAACCAACAAGGGCAGTTAATCCTCTTTACAGGAAGCAGTGAGGGTGGAGACTTACAACATGGAGCCGTCCCACCCTGATACACCAAAACAAGAGAGGCCTCCCACATGGCTGCACTGTCTCAATGAATTTATTTTGCCACCACCATCACCTTTAGCACTCAAAGCAGAGGGGTAAGAAGAGGACATGCTGGGTTACAGCTCCCGATTCTGCTTTTTTTGTTAAGAACATTTGTGAGCGTCAAAATATCTTTGGATGGGTCAAGGAAAAAAACATTTTTACATTGAGTTTGTAATTAGGCTGCATCAAAAAGACACCTCAGGAGATGGAGTTAATATGTCAGCCAATTTGAAAGACATTGCAACATGACCAGAGGAAGAGGACAAAAAAAAAAGTCAGAAGAGCGGCATTAACTTGTTTAACAGTGGATTTAGAATGGAGTGCATTGTTTGACCGGTAGCTGCATGCACATTACTGCACAGAGCAGCAAACTTGGCCTTACTTGCCACCCAAAAAGTGCTGACCTGAGAGGCAGTGATTTTCTGTGGCCACCCAGAAAGGAGGAATCTGAGCTGACAGAGAAAACACAACGAGTTAGCTCGTTGGACAGTGACATGCAGAGGCAGACGCCCAAAGAGGCTTGGTGTCAGTGATCAAGTTGAGGGGGAAACTGCAGGGAGTAGTTATCTGGTCTTGGCTGGCTGGCAGATCCCCAAGTTTGTTCAGCCGACAGATGAGGGTCCAGAAGGTGGCTAACAGGATGAGGCCTGATGGCCACGTGGCCACGCAGGGATTACAAGCAGCAAGAAGAAGGTAAAAAGATTAGACTCAGAACGGAGCCTTGTTTTTTTTTTAACCTCGTCACTCTTGTCACACTGACAGCGTACAGGGGAATCTCCTGCGCCAAAATTTTCAACCAGTGCATCATCTCTCCTTCCTTAACCTCTCCTCCCTCCATTTCTCCCTCTGCTCATCCATCCATGCAGCCCCCTCGGTTGTTTACAGGACTCCCAACAGCATTCAGGAATTAACTACTGCTGAACGACTGAGCCAGAGCACACACAGGAGAGGACTGTACTCCCTTCTTTCTTGCTTGCTAACAAGCTAAAGTCAGCACCAATGAGGAGACTTTTGCACACTCTGCTAATGGACTCGCAATAAAGATTCTGGATTTTACGTTTGTTTGCAGGAGTGTCTTCACAAATGACAACTTCAGGGCTTGAAACCCACATAAATTAGCCCACCATGCTTTTGAAGTCAGGACTTTTCCTCTCTTTGTGTCTGTTTACCCTCCAAGCAAGTCAAATCAAAGGTAAGAATCCCGTAGAGTCAGCTGGGTCTTTGGAAAACATATGTGATCTTTTTCTAAGTTCTTTGTTAAACAATTGGCAAGAGACATGCTGTGTGGATGAAAGGAATGCAGGCTGGACAACTCAGTTCAAACAAACTATCAAAGAGGTCTTTTTCAAATTTTTGTCTATTAAATAGTAATGCAATAATGTATTTGTACAGGTCTCTGTAAAACAACTACCTCAAGAAATTTGGAAAGTGTAAAAGGAAAGGTCAATGTCGACATGGCTTAGTATAGTTGATAATCTTCCGGCAGGTTTTCTATCAATGAGGTGTTTACTGAATGGCATTAGACTTAAAGAGATGGAGATCCTGTCCAAGGGCAAAAGGTTTTAAAGTTTGCCTCGGCTATTTAGATAAATCTCTGCAAACTATTGGATGCTTGTTCAAACTTGAACAGATCTTCAGTTTTTTAGATAAATGTCAAGCAGCCAGTGAGCCACTTGGTCATGAATATTCACTATCAATTAAACAGGCAGAGACATTGAATACATGGTGACAGAGAAAGATAGCGTCACTTCAGCACTGATAACATTTGCATCCGCACTAGTTGTCTCGTTCAGTGTGATGATGATGCCCGGGTGAGCTCATTATCCCGAAGAAAACAAAAGCCATTCTGTTCCCAGTGTTGCAGGACGCTAATCTTTTCTGGCTTGTAATTCGACTGTGAGGCCTTTTTGCGACTGCATTGGGCTTTAAGGCCCAATCAAACAGTCCCTCACCACACTCAGCCCCTCGTGTCTCTCCATGTGCAAGTCAGGCTTAAAGCATGCGGTTCCTCAAAAGCCCATTCAAATGTTTTACTGGAGGTGTGTCTATAAATGTAAAACACACATGTTTTGGTGATATTGTGAGCCACTTTCTTACCTGCTGAAATGTTTGTCAGTGTGAGAAAGGCCAGGTGAATAGATCTGCCTGACTGATGAAGAACTGGGAGTACATTGGCCAATAAAGCTACAGGATACAATATCTACGCCCACACATTCTTTGCATGTTTTTGGAGGCAGGCTAAACTTGGATTGAAGAAAACAATATGGTTCATTGTAGAGCTAATTATCTATGTGTAATTCACTTATTAACACGGTCTCTGCCATAAATCAATGAGGCCTGTGTACAAATATACTTTCTCTGTATATACATTTCAAACATTTCGCGGCTGCACACCACGTCATCATAAAATGCAACAGCCACCACAAACTACGACTTATCATACTGTTACATGGTTAAGCACACTCGTTCCTTATCTGTCTAAACAAACCAGTAAACCCTTCTCATAGGTAGTTTGTTTGTTTATTGGAATCCGCAGCAACTCTGGCACAACAAAGATTAAAATTATTACCAAAACTCACAATGTGGTTTATACAGTACACTGTGCAAGTGCTACGCTATTTTTTATTTCAGCATTAAAAGCACACACCAAATATAAGGGGATAAACAAGCTTTAGGAAACATAATCAGCATTAAGCTTTATTCTTTACAAATTTCTATGTTATGTCAGGGTTTCCCCAGGTAAAGATTTTTAACCTTGTGTAAGACTGTCTTCAGTTGACCTGCAGGCTTTCATGTCAGCAGGCTCGATATAGAACATGGAATCTGTGCTACAACAATTTGACCACTCTTGAAATGCTGTATTTTCATCAACCAAACAAACTAAATGAAAATTAGAACAGTAGTTATCTTTGCATGCTCCAAAACCTTTAATAATGTATTGTTTTGCTACTCAGTCTAATCCAATTTAATGCTTTTCTGATTACAAAAGCAACAAAATACATTTCGAATGAATAACATCAACATTTTTCTCTTCCAAAAAGGTTTAATAATATCCTGATTGGCTACTTAGCTAATTAGATCTACTAGAGGTTCACTGATCCAGACCAAGCTGATCACTCAGTACAAAGAAAAATCAAGCCTCAATACATTGTATTTGTTATTCTGCATTTAGGTCCCAGCCGACATGAGCACTGACTACGGAAAAACATGCAGTTTGTTTTCTAGTCAATTCTCATGAAAGAAAGTCCTTAGTTACTGCAACTTTATTTTAGGCAAAGTTTAGGTTGTTAATACTCCTGTCTCCTTGTTGTCATGGCATTATGGCGAGTTCTTATGTACTGAAGGAGAGTTTCTGACCAGATATGCTTCTGCTGCTACATTGACCTAAAACGGGGATGCTGCTGAGCCAAACATTTTTAACACTGTCCTCCTCATAGCCATCATCTCCAGTGTTTGGCCTTTTAAACCACCGTTTTCTAGGATTTTGGTTTTGACCATATCACATGAATGACTGTTTGGCTAGCTAATCAAGACTGCTAGCCTTAGCTTGTAAAAGGTCAAAGTGTCAAGTGTTGAACCTTATTTTAGACAAATGGAAAACAAAATACATCAAACAAAATAATTTTCCAAAGGAAAAATTGCTGCTGAATGCCAAAACAACTCAATCAGTGAAAGGAGTGAAAATGACACGGCTAGAAAGAAATGGCCCTGAAAAATGCTGATATTTACTAATTAGAAAGGAAGTTAGAGGCCTGAGGAAGGTACTTAGTGGAACAGCATTATTTTGTTTAACTGGCTACAGAGAGAGGGGACAGGCACTGAATGATAGACAATTTTATTAACCATAACACAACAAACTGGTGGATTCCGTTGAAGCTTACTGTTTCTATGCTCAGACCCCCACTGACAAATAAGAAAAATACAAGTCTTAAACTTGTCCCAAAACGCTTCTACACTGATATTTGTGATTAGAATGATGATGGGGGAGTTTGACGATAGAGTGACTTCAATGTAACACTTCCTCAGTAACCTGCAGATTTAAAGTGGCACAAGAACTCACCCCCCCATGGATGAATAGCAAAGGAGTGACAGGTTTGTTGGGCATCAGTCAGTGCCCACCTCTGAAGGTCTGAATGGGGTACAGCTGGGTCAGCCCTGGGCAGCAAATCGAAGAGAAACCTTTTCCTCCCGTATTCTTTGTCCTCAAACTGACCTCTGGTTTAAGGGGTAGTGCAGTTGTCCCGAACTGACCTTGTCTGAACCTGCAGATATTCAAATCTTGTCCTCATGAGCAACCCAAATCTGCTTTGTAAAGTTTCCATGCTTTACCAAAAAGCAGTTCTACTTTGTGCTCTCACTGAAGGCCTAGATGCCTATATGTGCAGCTTTTTCTGGGTTCATGCTCTACACTTTGCATCTTTTAATGTATCATTTACTTTGCAGCATGCTTTACTTGATATATTTGTTTGTTTTATGTGTTAATGAATTGGCAGATCTTTGTCCTATGAGAAATCTTGTGGGCCACTGCAGTATAATTGCAATTTGTTTGCGCTTGTAGTCCACTGTAAATATTCTCTGCAATCTTCAATGATTTATGTTTGTGCTTCAAACTGACTTGCCACAATGCAACTGTAGTTTGAACATCTTGTGTATCATTTAGAAAATTAAGTAAACAAAAAAAACCTAAAGCTTAGGCCTCAGGGAAATTTTAGGCTAAATAAGAAAACAAGGCTTACAGGAAACTGGCTGACCTTATCACAATTACAGTCATATCTAATGCTCAGTGTGTTGGTAGATTTAGCAATATATTTTGATGAATCAAAAACTATTATGAAAATAACAAGCAAAACTAAACTTTCACTTATGTTTTACATCCAAAAAACTATAACTGTATATACTGGATCATGTGTTTTTATTTACTGCAGCTTGCTTTACTTGTATGTAATAGTGTCCAATCATAGAAGATACAAATACACACTCCCTGGACTCCTGTAATGTTCTAACATCATACCAGCCAACTTAGCTTACACCGCACAGCTTTACTTCTGTCATCAAGATACAGTAGAATCCATACTGTTAATTTATCTTTACAGAAATGCAGCATATCTGGTTAAAAGTTCATAGTCTGATTTAACAGAGTTTAGGTTATCTACTACACTCACGCTTTCCTTTTCTTCTGCTTTAACCTTCATTGGGATTCTTAATCCAGAAAGGGCACTGATTGTCATTTGGGTACAATGACCTCAAGTCTGTATTTTGGGGCTCATAAATCCTGGCTTATTGTCTTATAAAGTCCTCTGAGGTTTGCCACCTGGCATTACAATTAGTTCCTTTGTTCTTAAACAGCTTTATTCAATAGGGAGAGTGTTCACGGGCAAACTGGCTTGGGTAATGGTGTGGAATTACCTTCCAGTAAAGCCTCACAAGGGCGGCTGAGGTTGTTTTCTTTACTACGGTAATCAGAAAATTAAGGCTGTTTTACTCAGGATGTGTGCAGCCTTCCAGTTATATAATCTGGGGAAATTGCCTGGCTGTGTCCAAGTTTCTCCAGGAATAATTAAATGTGATTTGATTGTTTTTGTCAGCTGTACCTGATTTTAATCCCTTCATGGTTTGTCGTGCATGCACAGAACTTTACAGCTGAAATCCGTGTGCGTGTATTTCTGCAACTTCCAGACAATCCAATGTACGAACATATCCTTACACTGTTTGCCACTGAACAGCTTCAGTGATGCAGGTCACCCAAGGGTATCTCATAGACCATTCCTTAGAGAAAAGAGACTGTTACTCATTTACTCTTTTCGACACATTTGTGCACTTTCACGGCGTTCAATATGATATCCCTCACAAAGTAGCAACCTAAGACATTTTCACACTATAATGACCTCAGAGGCTCAAATAACTCAATGCACCTTTAAAAGAGTCTCAACCCATACTACTGAATTCTCCTTCTTACTTAATACTTTTCGCTGAAAAGACTAACAAAGGCAGAGTCAGTGCAAGAAGCAGTTCACTAACAGCAAGAATCTGGGTTAATGCCGTATAGGTTTACAATGAACTGTCTTTGTATTTTGGTGCAAAACAATAAATTGACATAGAAAACAAATAGAAGTAAGTTAACAGACGTATTACAACTGTCCATAAACTTAAATAGACAGTAAAATTTGAAATGGGCTGACATGATGTATCTTGTTTACAGTAGATGAAAATAATTCAGTTGTGTTCATTTTTTGGATAAAAAAACCTCATTTAACTCTTTATTATTAGAAAAGTGAAGACCTTATGGCTTAAAAGTAGCTACCTAAATGGATAGTTTTCTTTAATGGCAGTATGTCAAAAATGAAACATACATGAAGTACCTCAAGGTAGCAGTTTTGTTTTCTGCTGTTACTTATGAGCTGTACGTTGTTTTAGAAAAAGCCCACATAGCTAAGTATGCAGATGACACACCGATATATGAAGCTCCTTCATCAGTAAGTGAACTGAACAATAGGTTAAATTGGTTGTCTAATGAGGAAAAGCAATACATTAATTGTTGGAAAAGTCCACTGTATTCTGGTCAAGGTTTCAGTTAAAAGCTGAACTAACACTCAAATGAGATGTAAACAACTCATCTATTGAACAAGAACGAAAGATAAAACTTCTGGATAACCTTTGATCACAACCTTTCATGGTTGATTAAGGTGTGGGCCCTCTATCCCAAACCCCAAGCCCAACACAGTTGTGGCTGATCGCTGTTCATTGTGAGTCTGATTCTGTTCTGTTTCTGTCTCTTTGCCACTGCAACTTTGATAAATGTTGCAAAGTGCTGTGCTCATGGTGGATTAATGTTGGATCTTAAATAATTGAATACAGAGTATGGTCTGGACCTGCTCTTTTTAACAACTTTTTTTATGAATAGGTGTTGTACAAATAAAGATTGTTTGAATAATTGAAAAAAGGTGGTGTGTTATCTGCAGGGGTGGGTCCAGACTTTTTGACCTGGGTGGCCCAACCCAGGCACTGACTTACGCAGAGGTGGCATGAAGTCAGTGTGTATACACACAGGATCGAATGTAATTAATTTACCCTTAATATAGCCACTTATCATTTATTCTTATGCATAACAAGGTAAAATTGAACACATTCTCCTGCACACACTCTAACTTGCACAAATACATGTATTTCCAATGTTTGGGTACTTAAATATTGCATTTACTGTAGGTTCATTGCAACTAAGACTGTGCACGGGCTAAGTTGCAAATTTTTATGGCGATAAACACCTTTCCCAAACACCTATCTTAGGAAATAGATGTGCAAAAAATGTATTTGCAATTTAAAGTGCTACCAAAAGAACATAATGCTACATTTATATGTAAAGGAAACGACTAACAGCCAGTTGCAAAAAAAAAAGCTCCAATAGTGGATTTGAACCAGTCTATGATTTGAACACAAGTCCTGCCTCTGATAACAAATAACCAATCATAGTTAAGGATTTTCAAGCGCCATCTGTTGCGGCCAATCAGATTTCAAGGGGGGCCCATGAAAAGCCCTGGTAATCTGTGAGAAGAGTTTTTCCTGCCTCCAGTTGTATTAGATGAGTTCTACTGTAAATGCTTTGGTTTGACACAGCTTGATTACTGTTTTGTTATTACATTTTTCAATGTAAGAAATTCATTTGCAAAAAAGTGCAGTATTCAAGTATTCAATCGACCATAATCGAATATATATTCTGTCTTTTGGGCCAGAAATTAGTTGTGAATTTAGATAATAGAAACATTATGAAAGGGGATTCAGACAATGGTGAATGTTTATCAAATATGTGTTGTGTGCATATGTGTATGCATGTTTATAACGGTATATATGTATATCATATGCAGAAATAAAACACAAGTCTGATTTATGTATTTTGTTAATCAAGCTGTTTGTGACTGTGTGTTGGACACCAAGAATAATTGCCAAAGCTAATGATTATGATACTGATACTGTTGGCTACCTTGGAAACAAACGTAACACTGACACAAGGCAGTATCCCCGTCTTTTAGTAATACTCTTGCATAGTTTAAATGAGGGAACATTACTTGAAATGTATACCTGTGGTGTGCTGATGTATAGCATCCTACATTACCCATAATGCAACTCTATATGATTATATGATTCTTATTAGAACCACTACGTTTTTCAACACAACCCCAGACCTGAGTCCACGAGACAAGCTGGCTATTAAAATATTTACATCTGTAGGCACTCTGTGAGTCAACCCTAGTGACATCATTATGACGTCGTCAAGGCCTGCAGTTTTCTCGTGCTGACATGTGACCATTACAGTCTATGCATGTGACAAATATACTGACACAAACTTGTGTGTATAATTACTATCAAGAAGTCTGTGTTAGCAGTATTCAAATTAATTCTCAAAAATGTCAACATTGCCATTGCAAAGGGAACAGTTGACAAACTCGTATCTGAACTATTTAGCGACCTTAAGTTCAGAATGTCACCAACTGCTGTACTTACAAAGAGTGGTAACCAACCTTTTTAATGATAGGCAACAAAAGTCAGCTTCTTGTTATGAACTGCTCAAATGTACAGTTCTATAAAAGCATAATGTACTGTACATTTTTATACATCGTCTAACCTCACTCACTTCTCTTTCAGATCCTCATGACAAAGACTTTTCTGGACTCAGGGATGTGAAGTACCGGCACTTTCTAGAAACCTCCAGACCAATCAGACACACCACAAATGTCAGAGCAGAGCAGGACAGACATCGGACGAAAAGGTCAACAATCTTCCATACAGGTGTCAAAGTGTGTCCGCAGGAGACGATGAAAGAAGTCATCGGCAGCCATCGGACCTACTACAAACTCAGAGGTAAAAGGAATTTTCACTTTGAAATGAAGATGCTGTTCTGTGTGTCAAATGAGAATAACACATTTAATCAAACAGATTTCTTTGCAGTTTGATAGATTACTGTCTGCTCTGATGTGTTTTGCAGGTGTACATTTTTGCAAAGAGAATAAAGGGATAGATAAATCCTTAAAAAATTGTGTGATTATCTAATCTTATCAATTATGGATCACACCCGTACATGTTGCTTTATATATAAGGTCTTCATTTAGGACCTGGTGATGTTGACATGATGCTGCTGCATGATGCCATGAAGCTGGTTACAGACTTCAGGGACACTTAATGTAATCAAGTTATATGCAAATACCCTTTGTCCATGAGAGATGGATTGCCGATGAATTTCAGAGGGAAAGATTTCCACTCCGGCTCTTATAATAGCATAGTAATTCCAATTGTTCCACTACAGCTGCTGTGGCATATGATTTTAAAAGGCGGCAGATTAATTTGGTGTGTTGGAGGTAATCGCATCGCTCCACAAATGAGTTTGTCAGAGAATAAATTTCCCACAGGCATCCTGATATTGGCCAATGTGGAGCTTGTTTCGGCCACAGAGGCCCATAAAACATACTGTGGCTTCAGGGGGTTTTTGTGCTCATGATTTTAATGTTCACAAAAATGACACGACATGCAACAAACTTAAATATACAGCTTGACATTTACTGAATCTGACTCTAAAACCTCATTCAGCCATCACAATCGCATCAAGTTTAATGGGTTTTGTAATTTATTGTAGCATTTTGAGATTTTTATGTGTTCACATGTGAAGCTGCACTAAAATGCGTCTCTGTGAGGAATCAGAGCTTATCTTGTAGATAAATCACTGCTAACTGGCCACAGGCAGAGATGTCAAGATCTAAATCAACAATCCTCTTTATCTTCAGCTGTTTGATATCTCCATACTGGGTCTTCTTCTCTATGTGATTTTTAAACAAAGCATGATGTATTTTCTTCTAGAATATTTGCTATTTAATATATTATTTTTTCAGTTTGTCAGGAGGCGATTTGGGAGGCATTTCGGATCTTCTTCGACCGAGTCCCTGACTCAGAAGAGTACAGATCCTGGGTTTACACCTGCCAGCATGAAAACCTCTGCATGGATGACCTGGCAAAGAACTTCAGCAGCGCTCAGGAGCATCTTGATATGGTGGCCAGGGTGAGTCTGGCACCAATGCAGCCAAAAGAAAAAACCTCACCGTCAAGTCCATTTGTACACTGTTCAAACTGCAGAGCTGTTTTATCGCCCATCTGTAACAGTTATTATTGTGTTTGTCATTTCCAGAGAGTTGCCATGACAGCTGAAATTGAAGGGTACGTCAAGCTGTGCTTCTTAAATCTTGTGTTTAATGTGAGACTCCCATGTGTGTTTGCTGTGTGTCTACTCTGTTCAAATACACCTTAGAACCGCAATGTTCAAAAGATGTTTCCAACCTTAACCTTTGGCACCCTAATAAGAATAAGGAATATAACTATGGGATATTAGGCAAAGAACATATAATCACAAGAAATATTGATGACCTCCTTGTTTAACTGTTGTCATACCAAATGTACTCTATTATTCCCAGAGTTGACGCTGGAACTCCAGATCCAAACAGGGAATGTGAGTTTGACACTATTACATCAGCACCATTCAATAAAACTAATATGCTGAACTTAATAGCTAAGACTATGTTTCATTATCATCAAAACACAAATAAACTGCTGACTTTTTGTCACAGGCACGTGGACGCCCCATCTGCTTCTGCTACCAACTGAGGCCGAAGTGGTAAGATAACCCAAAAACCGCCATAATCACGTATTATTGTTCTCAATATTTATTTATTAAAGGATGTAGTTCTGGTTTGATAACAGTGTACATTTGATTTTCTTTGCCAGATCCAAGAAGACTTGAAAAAGGAGAATTTTGAGTACATTGTGGAGTTCAGTGTCACCGTCGTTGACCCGGCATACAACGATGTGTTGAGTGACCCAGAGGCTCTACATACCAGTGAAATAACACGAGAGCTCACAGACAAGGTAAAAGTGTGGGCACACAGACCTACAGCAAATGGCTATATTAAACATATGTAAGTTTTGCCATTGTTCTTTAAGCTATGAATACAATGCTAAATGGCGGCTCTGAAGCGTTTGCTAGTTTTTATTAACACTAGGCTTGAAATCTCCTCGCAACACTCAAAGATTGCCACTGAAAAAAATAGATCATCAACAGTCTGTACTGTACTGCAGCTGAAAATAGACAACTGTGGTCGACACTCAACACCTGCTGCCAACAGTAATCACCCACAGCCGTCAATACTTGGCCCATGGACGATGCTCAGGTGTTAAGAGTGAAAGGACCTTTCCTACAAAGGGATTGTTGACTTCTTTGTGAAAGATTTAATCAAGAATTGTCATGCCCAGTTCAAACCCAATCTAAGCTTACAGAAATTTAAATGATGATGATTTCAGATTCAGTTATTTCAAATAGGCTACATTTCAACGGCTCTTTTGTCACTAATCTTTAACCTCTTCTCTCTGCCTGTAGTCTACCCTTCAAACTTGACAGATCTTTCTCCCAGCAGGAGTTTGCCATTATGCAAGACGTTTTACAAAGAGATCAGAGTGCCAGCTTCCATAGGGTTCTATTGTTAGGAGTAATAACTCACCCTGATTGATTTAACTGCTTCAAGTTGTCAGTAAAGGGACTTAAGTTAATGACCACAAGCCTGAAATAGTAAGACCTAATCATATAGATTATCTCCCGCTAAGACGTATTCACGAAGACTTTGGCCACAGCTCTTAACAATGACTTCTGCTGCAGGAGTTTGACATTTCTTTTCTATAGAATTCAAGAGTACAGGGGCACCAATGGCCTTGCTGTTGGTTCGCGCCCGATGTACGTAGGCTATAGACCCCCAAGAGGGCATATTTGGTGCAGGTTCCACCTGTGGCTCCTTTACAGCACGTCATTCCCCACTCTCTCTCTCTCGCTGAGTTTCAACCCTGTCCACTGTCCTGTACAAAAAAAGGCATTCAATCTCACAAATAATAATAATATTGTCTTATCTTCATCTTACTTTTACTGATTGCTCATTTCTACCTTGCATTAACTCACCATTTTTTATTGTTCGGTAGTAAATTCTTATTCTTTTTTTTTTTTCACTTTACTTGACTGATGGTATAGTCTTATTTTTATTTTTATTAATCCTACGGAGGATTACCTTACATGGTTTTTTCTCATTTACAGGTTTTTTCTCGTATTGAGCACTGCTGTCACTTTATCATGTTTTGTCCTGTCATGTTGTTTGTGTGTAGGAGGCTGACTCACTCGCTGCAAACCAAATCTACCTACGGTTACCAATAAAGTTATCTTACCTTACCTTAAAAATAAAAACTCAATTCCAATTTTCCAATTTAAAAAAAACTCGCTCTGAGGTGGTTACAGTTTAGCTACCGCCCATAACATTATCATCATTTATGACCTATTTATCATGCTTTTAATACAGCCACTTGTATGTGTGTGTTTTTGTTGTTGTTTTTGTGTCTAGCTGTATGCACACTGATGCTCTTTTACACAAATGAAGTTCTTAACAGATAAATAAAGTTATTTGAATTGAATTAACAACCAAAGGTAGAAGTAAACCAAATGCATACAGTTCATAACATTCAAAAAACATGAAAAAACGTTCACCTGTATAAATGCTTATTTCTTTGATTACAATTTAACTCTGACTCTCTTCTTCTTCTGTTTAGATGCTTCGTGTCTTTGAAAAAGTACCAGGATTCAAAGAGATTCAAGTTCTGGGGTTTCGGTAGGTTGAATTAAGATCTACAAGGGTTAGCTTTAAAATAATACTTGGTGATGATGATTTATTTTGACCAAACATTTCAGCTAATAAGATAAGACATATATTTCTTGTACTTTTCCCCCTAAGTGGTTTTCATTTAAGCCTCTTATTACCATAATCTCTGCAGTTGTACCAACTGTACCATCCCCCCAAAAAATTTCCTCATTTGGGACATGACTCAGATATTTCTGGCTTCCCAGACATGAATTTTAAGTTAGGCCTGTTTGTTTGTTTTGATGGGTTCTGACATGATTTGTTGTGTTGTTGATCAGCTCTGATGATGTGACAGTGCGAGTAGTCTTTAATGGAGACACGGAGCTCACTGATGATGCTGAGGTTCTTGAGGACCCAGACATAGATGAGGACGTTAATGCTCCTAAACTGAAGTACATCATAGTGAGGGCCTTAAGAGAGGAACCGTCACTCCCGCTGGACATAAGGACACTCAGCTTTGAGGCTGGTAAGCATGATATACTCACATTTCAATTAATTCAAACTGTTGGTGCTAAGAATAACATTTTAAAGCTGTATGAATCTTTTAAACCTCTTTCCAGTTACAACAATTTATCCAGTTGCTGAGCTTGGCATAAATCCTATTGACAGCATTGTATCTGGGGACTACACCACATCAGCGCCCACAGAGGACAATACTCCAACTCAAAGTTTCCTCCCCACTGTGGCTGCAATAGAAAACTACTCGGGTGCTTTTACAAGTGAACCAGAAACACACACCTTTGTGCCTTTCATCCCAAACATTGTCCCTGAAACTACACCTGCGGCCACTGATGAGACTCTAATGGCCTCTGTAGAAGAATCCACAGAAGATAGTGCAGAGGAGCCGAGTGGCGTCACAACACCAGACACCAAACTTGATGATGCGGCTGAGGCTGAACCTGAAGAACAGCTGAAAGACGGTAGGTTGACTGAACTGCAACTTAACCCACATCTTGCCATCACGCTGTGGTTTGTAGGTCTTGATCCAAATTTTGGCAGGAAAGCTGCAGGAGGATGAGCTCATTGCTGTACAGTTAACGGACACAGTATATACAAAAAAATCTGGAAGGGGTTTTTACTGTAATCATAAAATATTCCAATCTGGAAAACAAGGAAGAAAAGGGAGATTTTAGCCTATTTAAGAGGATTATGCCAAAACAAACATGAGATTACTAATTATCTTGGTAAAGTAATTGGATTAAATCAGGAAAATACAAAACAAACAGAAATGAATTTATAGAGGGAGGAGGGAAGAATAACAACGTTACAATTCACTTAGCAGACGCTTTTATCCAAAGTGACGTACATCAGAGATTAAGTACAACAGTAATCCATTCATACACCGCCACCAAAGCAGTGGGAGCAATCTAGGGTTAAGTGTTTTGCCCAAGGACACATTGGACATGTTGCTCAGCTGGGGGTCAAACCCTCAACCTACTGGTTGAGAGGTGACGACTCTACCAACTGAACCACAGCCGCCAGCTCATTGAATTTCCATCATAAGATTTATAGTGCTGTAAAGATAAAGAAAGGATTTATGGAAACAGTTGAAGCTTGTCAGGAAGTCTGGCACATTGATGGGTCTTTTGCTGGATCAAACATTGAATTAGAATTTCTTCAAAGTTACTGGATAGTGAGTATGTACTGTATGCAAGGCTGTCCATATAAAGAGTGACCTATTTCTTCATTTCTGACACATACCTACACTTCTTCGCCTTGACAGAAAACTCCCCTCTCATTGCAACTGGGAAAGGCAGTAGCAATTAGACCTGGTGGTTTGATTTGTGAGAGGCTCCCTGTTGAGGCAATGTATCATATTAAAACCCATTAACAAGCAGTGGTCTGCTGTTGGTCCAGTCATTACAAACTCATGTTGTGAACCATACTTTCTTCAAGCTTGCAGAATTTATTTTTGAAATTCTTGTGGGGTTTCCATAGTTTGCAAATGTGTCAGGCTTATCAGAAATAATTTTGAGGAATTGTGTATGAATTGATGCACACTTTAACATCCCAATGATTTTATGAAGAGTTTCAGCTCTTTTCATTATGAAATGAAAATAAAGAGTTGGATCCACTGTAGAAGAAATATATTCTACAACCAGACAGTTAGCCATCAGATCATATCCACTCCAATCCAACTTTATTTAAGCCCTTTGAAACAACCACAGTTGACCAAAGGGCTGTACAGAAGAATAAATAAAAATATATAACAGCGCACATGAGATAAAAGAAAACTACATGTGAAATACAGCATACATTTGAAAGACATAAAACATAAGTAAAATGAAAAGGCACGCGAACAAGAAATCAAATAAATAAATAAAGTCGATGTCTTACTGTGTGTGAAAGGCCAGGGAAAAGAGATGAGATTTAAAAACAGACAGAGAAGAGGCCTGTTTAACGTGCTGAGGCAGATCGTTCCATAATTAGAGCCTTGAATCTGCTTTTAATAGTTTAATAGTTTTTTTTTTAATAGAAATGAGTTTGACAATAAAGGACACACTATGTCTCTTTATATGCAACATTTGGATGATTCTTTGACATCACCTTAGCAGGGGAAAAAGCTAGCCTTGTGCATCCACAGTTCAATCAACCACCTACTAGCGCCTCCAGTGCTCACAATGAAGTCGTGTTCAAATGTCAAGTTTACTTTAAATGGGGAATTTATTTGTGCTACTGGTTCAGACATTAGCTAGCAACCTCCTGAGTTGCCATGACCAACAACTATACTTGGCTAGTGCTAGCAAAGAAATGGTCACAGCATGGGCTAGATCTGGCAGAAAACATATATCCTCTTCTTTTTACAGTTCCATTTGTGTACTGTTAAAACATACAAGATTAAAACTTGCTACTTGTTGGGCTTTAGAGCTGCTAGGAGGATTTTTTTCTTTTTGCTCGAATTAAGATTCTTTATTGTTCAAGTCTTTGCTAAGCTAAGCTAATTGCCTCCTGTCTCTTGCTCTATTAACTCAAAAACATGACAGTAGTATCAATCTTTAGAGCTGTGATGTAGTTCCCTCTTCACTATGCCATTGTACTTGTACATTGCATCCACAAGGGTGTAACATTGGCGTCCCCCACACATAGCTTTATGGCGTTGCAGAAGTATGAGAGGTGTAAACAAACAGTGGGATGTTCCCATACACACACACTCAGACATGCATACACACACAGCCCTAATCTGCTCTGCTGGCACTGATGTTACACATTGCCAAAGCCTTGTACCTGTTTACACCTTTGTTACACCTTTGTTACTACATAGGATGACAGATCAGCAACTGTGCTCCAGACAAGGCATGACGGGTGTAAATATCCCACCTTGAACTTGCACTATGTAGATGATTTTAAAATGCCTTTTAGAAATAAATGAACCATAAACTTTTAACAATGTATTTTTTTTCTTTTTGCTTCATGTCTTTAGCACTTATCCTATTTTTTTTTTAACTTAATTTTTACTAATTTTTATTTTATTTTATGTACTTTATTAATCACTTAGGGACATTCTGGTTTTACACTGGGTTATTTAGAGACATGCTTTTCACACACTTAGGCTCAAAGCATACAGAAGCACAACCAGGACCTGTGCACAGGCATTAGAAGAGAGATGTCAGAGTATGGCTGCTGCACAGGGAGCGCACCAGAGCTTTTGGTGATTCTGTGCCATTGCTCAAGAGCACCTCTGCAGCAAACTGAAAGTACCATGGCAGCTCTCCAGCTTCCAGACCAACTTCAATACTTTGGTCTAAACCAGTGACCATCTGGTCAAGTTCCCTACAGACTTAGCTACTGACGCCCCCAGCATGAGGGTTCAATCAATCATTGTATCTGCAGTTTGCAAATGAGTGAACCTAAGCATAACAGGAGAATAAAAGAGCAAACTTGTGTGTCAAGGGCTTAACATTCAGGAAAAATGGCCACTGTTTAATCACTTTATTATGTTTTTTTCTTCAGGTGTTCCTGAACTGGAGGATAGGGTCAATGAGGACAATCCTGCTGAGGTCTCCAATGACCTGCCAGAGTTTACAGATCCCACAGTAACTGAGATGTCTGTCATTGAAGTAACAGTCCCAGTCTACACCACATCATCTCCTGAGCAAGCTGTCCAAGGCATTTCAAATTTTACTTCGAATTCCAAAAGTATAAAATCTGTGTTAAGCTGCCCAAAGCTAATTTGGGGGAAATGTGTATAAAATGATGCACTATGTCCTTTAAGTTATTCAATAAATGAACAGTTGCAATCTTTTAAAACAATAAGGTTCAAATAAGGAACATCAGGAAGTCTACTAGCAGGAGTTGAAGCAGCTTAAAACACAACAGTCAGTCAGACAGTATGGCATCAGATTATAATAAGAACCTTAAATCATTTAAGGACATACTTTATCTTGTGTTTTTTTGTGTGTGCCAGAGTTAGCTTAGAAGAATAATCCACCCTAACAAGGGAAAAAAGCTAGTCTGGTACATCCGAAGTTTAATCATTCACCTACACGTACCTCTATTGCTCACCTTACTGTCATGTCAAAAGGGAAAGTCAATGAAGGACAATTAGTCATGTAACCGGCACAGACAGTACCTATCTTGTAACATCACTGAGATGGAAAGACGACTATTGCACTTGGCTATTGCCAGCTTAGAAATTGTAACAGTAGAGCTCCCTGAAAAACCATAACTTTTTCAATTCCCGATTTGTGTGTGACCTAATCAAATGAGATCAAACATGCTTAATACTGTGCTAGAGATGAGAGACTCAAGCTAGCTATTCTAGTTCTTTTTACTTTACTTCCAGTGTTAATGCTACGCTAGACTAATTGTACCTTTCTTTAGCTCTATACCTATGTAACAGGATAGTAGTATCTTCTGATCTGACTTCTGACTTTTTTAAAAGTTAAAATAGAAGGCCAGAAGATGGGGAAACTCAAGTTTTAAGTGTCAACAGTATAATTGTCTTAGTTGCATTTATACCTATTACAATTAGATTACCTGTATTAAGCTGTTAAAATGTTATCTTCTCCTTTTTTTTATAGATTTACCTGAGCTAGATGAGGGTTCAAACGAAGAGCATTCTGCTGAGGATACCAACACTTTGCCAGATACTACGGCTGCCACAGTTACTGAGATGTCTGTCGTAGAAGTCTACACTACACCGTTTCGTGAACAAACTATTCAAGGCATTTATATTTCTACTACTTGAGTTTTAAAAAATACGAACTATTCTCAAAAATAGTTTTGGGAAAATGTAAAAAACAAACAAAACTGATGCACAATGTACCAGCAGTTTTTCATTTAATGATTAGTTGCAACCATAAAAACAATTATAAGGTTTGAATATCAGTGCATCTGTTTTTTATCCTATGCTAAGCTAGGCTAATAACTTCCTGCCTCTTGCTTTGAATATAACAATTAGATTTAAAATGTGTTTTTTGTTATTATTTATTTGTCAGACTTACCTGAGCTAGCTGAAGATGAAAATGACGAACATTCTGCTGAGGACACCAATGAATTGCCAGAATCTACGGTTGCCATAGTAACACAGATATCTGTCACTGAAGCGGCAGTCCCAATCTCGACAACTTCATCTCCTGAGGAAACTGTCCCAGGCATTTAAAATTCTACTTAATTTTCCAATCTATCAATCTTGTTGTCTGATTTCTGGATTAAACTATTCCTTTAAAGTAGATGAATGCAGTTTGGTTATAAGATCTCTTTTCTGATATGTTTTTTATTTTATTTTAGAAATACCTGTGCTTGCTGATGTGGTCAATGAGGAAAATCCTGTTGAGATAGCCAATGACCTGCCAGAGTTTACAGATCCCACAGTTACCGAGATAACTATCATAGAAGCACCAGTCACAGTCTCCACACCATCATATCATGAGCATGCTGTCCAAGGCATTGAACCAGATATAGATGAGGTGCTTTTGGAACCCCCTACAGAGAGCGATAAAACCCCTGAAGACAGAGACGAGTCAAGTGGAGGGCACAGTGGAGTGACTCCGGCCTCAATAGAGTTGTCTCCTGTGAACGCAAACTATCAAGAGGATGTAGGGTACAGTGGAGTGACTCCGGCTTCAATAGAGTTGTCTCCTGTGAACGCAAACAATCAAGAGGATGTAGGGTACAGTGGAGTGACTCCGGCTTCAATAGAGTTGCCTCCTGTGAACTCAAACAATCAAGAGGATGTAGGGTACAGTGGAGTGACTCCGGCTTCAATAGAGTTGCCTCCTGTTAACTCAAACAATCAAGAAGATGTAGGGAACAGTGGGGTGACACCAGTCTCATTTGACCTGCCTTCGGACAACTCTTACACCCAAGAGGAGGTATGGCATAGTGGAATGACACCAGTCTCCATTGACCTACCTTCTGAGAACTCTTACACTCAAGAGGATGTATTGTCAAGTCCAAACAACACTGAGGCGGAAGTGACCATATCTCCAGAAGAAGACAGCGGCAGCGGATACCCCTCGGAGTCTGATGAACGACCGTATGGATCCACAGCTACACCGGCCATGAGACTAGCCAGCACCCCTCTGGTGACCACAGTGGAGAAGACCAAAGAGTTAGTGGTTTTCTTTAGCTTGAGGGTGACTAACATGATGTTTTCTGAAGACCTGTTCAACAAGAGCTCCCCAGAGTATAAATCCCTGGAGAATACCTTTCTTGAGCTGGTAGGTACACAAGCTTTTATGCTAGATATCATGATCTTGCATGCTTCATTCTCATATTGTTTTTGTAGCACAAACTGAAATGTGTGTTCTTTAGTGCAATAAATTCTAAATAGCATGGGTTTAAATAATGTTTTAATGAGAGTAAATAAGTTGGTGCTTCATCTAAATCTTGTTGTCCTGATAAAGTGAGGATGCTCTTTTGCAATAAGCCTTGTCCTCACTGCAGCTTTATAAAATTCAAATTCATGGTAAATTACAAGTATTTTATATTTTTCTGAAGAAGTAACCATTTTTTTAAAATACATTTTATAATTCTTTGAGCAAGGGCCAAATTTGAGATCAAAATTGTACGATTTAAATGGAGGAAGCATCGTCTTACCATGGAAAAAGATGGTCAAATTATTTTGTTTCACTCAGACACAGCACTCTGGGTCCAGAAAATCTCAAAACCCTGGAGCTTCCAGTAAATCTGGGTTTGGGAGACAGACAACTTTAGCCTCCATACCGGTATTTTTTTCCATATTGGAACTACATCTCCAATGCCTCAGAGAGTGCATGATCTTTCGATTTCTTGTCTAACCTTTTCTGAAATGCAGTATCTAACAATGGGAAAGCACCTAACATTGCTTAAATTCTCAACTTTAGTCGTCAGCTTTGCTTTTGTCCCTATATTAGACATTAACGTTAAACTTCCTGCATCTTCTAATGATTTTATCATTGAGTCTTGTAGCTCTAATTTTGTTTGTTCTTGTCTGTATTGCCTTAAACTTTTGAATTGTGCTAAAATGTTGGCTCTTTCAGGGTGTCAGGGGCAAATTTGTGTCTGCAAAGCATTTGTCTAAAGTTCTGAGTTATAACAATAATACATAGCCTCTCTGCGATGAGGGTAGTTGTTAATAGACTGAACCAACACAAGTGAACATGCAAAACATTTAAATAAATAGTACATTATGTCTTGCTTGTGTAGAGTAAAGGATTTCTCACAAAATGTCATCACTGGAACATTTTGGCTGTTCATTTTTTAATTACAGCAAACAGCTAACATTCCAACTGTACTTTAGCTTAAAAGTAGCAACTGACCATTTCAGTGGTTGCTTTGTGCCTGTCTGCTAAACGTTGTTATGATCTCAAAAGTTAGGCTCTTTCTGTTATTTTAGTGTTTGTCTTTTTCAAATTAGCTTGCACCCTTGCAAGGAGAAGTTGAAACATTTCAGCTAGTAGGCCGTCTGAAGGATCTTCACCTCTGGCAAATTTGTGTCCATTTGTGCCAACTTGCGTCTTTTCCATAGACCTTGTATGCAAATACGTACAGAAAGGTCACCTTGCATTTCTTATTGACACTCATTTTGGTGTTAGTATTGTTAATACACTCATAAATGTCATTTCAATAATGTAACTGTGGCGTGCAGCAAGTTTCAGTTAGCTTAGCATTAAGACGAGAAACTAGTTGAAACAGCTAGCCCGGCTCTGAACCAAAGTTACAAAATCTGCCTACCAGCACCTCTGATACTTTGTTTTGTCTCTGATATCATTAAGTGATAAAAACCCCTCAGAAATTGGCCAGCTAGGAAACAAGCAAATAAACACACATTAAATACCACAGTTGATAAGGATAGACAAAATGGGAATAACTCAACACTAGCAAGCTTTAGAGGTGCCAGTGGGTAAATTTTGTTACCTGTGGATAGGTGAATTGTTTCCTGTGTTCAAGCTCAGCTCAGCTAATTTGTACATACAGGGCCTGATTTACTAGAGGTTTGCATGTCTTAAAACGTGTGCAAACTTGATACCACCAGCAAAAAATGTGCTATCTGATCTACTAACGGCGCGCAGTGAGGATTGCTTCTTTCATATGAGCAAAACAGCACGCATTGTCCATTTAGTATGTTTTCCTTAATGAATATGCAACATGGGGCGTTTCTGCCCTAGCGTGCAAAATACTGGGAGGAGAAAATGCAAAGAAGTTAAGTTAGTACACGCATTGCGATTTACCAAGCCTGGCAAAATTTGCGGTGATTTTGCCGGTGTCTGTATTTAACACCTTTGAAAACACCTACCTATTTTGCGCTTGCAGTCATCCTGCTTTCCGTCCAAACTCTCCCTGACTTAAACCAGTAGAACACAAAAGACTTAAATAGTACCGCCTCCACAAGGTTTGCACCTGGTGTTATTCACGCAAATTTTCTTCGTAGATAACCCGCAAAACAGCCACCAACCAAACGTGCAATTTGTTGACACGAACACGCAATTTAGTACTCTTTAATTGGGATCTTAGTAAATCAGGCCCACAGTACATTGCACGTGTTGAAATTTTGACTATGGGTTTTGTACATGTTTGAAGCCTTAAAGAAAAACTTGCAATGTGTGAAATAATAATTAGATTAATTTGGAGCAGGATGACTTTATACGTCTTTAAGTTTTTTGAGTTGATAAAAACTGTGCTTTTTTTTTTACATGATAGAGTTCAAACTAGCCCAGGGTAGTCTGAATAATGAGACCTGTGTCTGCCTTAGTCATTGTATGACTCAGAAATTTATGAAATGGGGTAAGAAGCTTCAAGTGATTTTGTCAGTTCCAGGACAGCATCCATTGTACTATACATGGTTACAAAGTGCAACATCAGTCAGGGTTGTGTTGACATCTGTGTGTATGTGGCAGAAATGTCAATGTGTTGGTATTGTAGACATACATAATGTGTATGTCCTGATGTATAAGACTATGAAATAAAAAAAGATTACAGTTGAGTTGAGGTATTTTTATTGTAAGCATATGTGTATACATCCAATGCACAGCCTTGTAGTCATTGCTAGAATGTATAATTTGGTCCAATTAGTTATGAAAATAAGTTACATTTATTTTTCTTAACGTCAAGGTTTTGAAATTGCATTAATAAGCAGGTAAAGACTGGGTAAAGACAGATTTTTTGCCTTGCTAACTGTTGCCCTGAGCTCTAAGTTACATAAAGACCTAATCCTCAATATGGGGGGTTACATTGATATCAATTAAAATGTATTTATTGCATTGCCAAGCAGAAGATGTGTGAGTTACTTGGGCTTAGTTTTATTTATGAGTGAAAACGTGGGATTCTATAAACATCGCACAAAATGTAAGGAAATTTGTGTTTGGTAGATTATTTCTTTGTCGTAACAATGCTTCTTGGCAGTAATTCTTATGTCATTGGAAAGCCTGTTTATTTCCCGTTTAAATGGTGCCACATTGGTAAGGAACATGCATCTGTAAGATTAGCAGCAGAGCTGAGTATGTGGGTTGCGCCCATGAAAAACTTAAATCTTCTCTGCCAATGCCAAACAGAGTAGGGTTTATCATAGGCTACCTCCAGAATTTGAGAGTGGAGAGGATGGAATAGCCTGCCTGCAGCCCTAAACACCATTGAACACTTGTGGGATCAGCTTGGGCGGGCTGTTAATGCCATTGCTGCTAGTGTGAGTGACCAACACAACCACATTGGCTGTTGTGTGACAAATGCTGGTTGAAGAATGGGATGCCATCCCACAGCAGTGTTTGACCAGGCTGGTGACCAGCATGAGGAGGAGGTGCCAGGCTGTTGTGGCTGTGTATGGTTCTTCCACACGCTACTGAGGCTCCTGTTTGTTAAATTAATGAATTGTTGAATTGATATGTCTTGTTTCTTCATACTTCAATCATCCAATCCACTAAACGACAACAAACATGAACCAGCAGAATAAGCTGTTTGGCATTGGCAGAGAAAATTTGGCAAGTTTTTCATGGGCGCAACCCACATACTCAGCTCTGCTGCTCATCCCACAAATGCATGTTCCAAAGGGAAATAAATAGGCTTTCCAACTGTATAAGAATTATTGCCAAGAAGCATTGTTACAACAAAGAAATAATCTACCAAGCACAAATGTCCTTACTTTTTATGCAATGTTTATATATACTGCATTATTGTATCTGAAAAGTTTAGGTTTGTTTTATTTATGTTTTGACTTTGATGTCTGGGTTGTGGTTTCTTAAGCACATTTTCTTAAGTAAATTTTAGACGTTTTTCAAGTCAGATATAGGAATGACCAATGACTGCATTGCATCAGTGAATACAAATTTAAGTACTGGGTATATAGACACAAATTACATGCACAGATGTTTATTACAGAAAACTACAAGGCATAAATAGATTAACACTCCATCTCCAATCTTTAATGGTTGCTCAAAACGTGGTTTCTGCAGTGCTCCGTATTAATCGATGTATTTAGCTTCCTGGCAAAACTATTGTGATCAGACGTTTGAACTGGTGAGTATTTACCATATAATGTTGATTTTTACTATTCCATAAGGAATAGTCAACATATCATCCTTTAAATGGGCTCTAAAGATAGTGATGGTACACTTTTCAACTAACATGTAAAATACGTCCAAGCCTGATTGATTTAAAGTATCAGATTCTCTGCAGCCCATTTAAAAGAGCATGATGTTATGTTTTGCTGGATATGGGACCCCATTTGTGCTTCGTTAGGCTTCATTTGCTGTCCCTCATATATATGTATTCATATATATGAGCCATTAGCTTACAGTGGCTTGCAGTTACCCCTGTTTGCCTTTGCTACATTCCTCCATTACTCCTGTACCTACTGGTTTGTGAAGCAACCACTAAAATTGGATATGGAGGTTGTAATGATTGTATGTGCTATATTTTTAACTGTAAAAATATTTTCATTGCAGCCCACTTTTTGTGAGTTTTCTTTTTTGTACTTTAGTGAAGGGATGGTCTATTAGTTTTTTTCTTTCAATAAGAACCAGTAGATACATGTGTAACCTCAGAGTAGCCTATGTGATTGTGCCAGAGACTGAAATGATGTTGTGTTTGTGCTGTGCTGTCTACATTTCTTTTTCAAAGTCAAGTGTATAAAGGATGCAAACTCTACTGTTTGTCTGTTAGTCCACAATATGGACTGCACTGAGGTTTGTTGTGAAAGAATTTGGATTTGACCTTGTAAGGAAGGCAATAGGGGTGTCCAATCTACGGTGTAAATGTAATACTTGACATTCTGCATTAATAGAAATGGATGACCCACCAGCCAGCCCAGTGTCGAGTTGTACTGCAGGCTGTTGCCCATTTGTACAGGATATTGGATCCAATCGTTTTCCCCACTTTTCTCAGAAACTATTAGCTATTGGGAACTAGGGCCCTTTAAACTGTCTGCCAGTGATAAGTGAAGTAACCCGATCAGAGCAGAGCTTCTTAGGCCTCTTATCTCCCGCTCGACAGCCAGGCCTGCTAAAGCAGCGTAATCGCTCCCTCTCACACTGCGGCTGTTGGATGTTTGGCCTGTCAGCAATGAACGTGAAGTGACTGGAAGGAGAGCAGTTTGGATCGATGAACATTGATGCAGGCCCATTACTTGAGCTGGTTGACTTCTTCCAGTCTCAATATCTCCAACCGTCATCAGTCTAAGTCTATAGTCATAATAGATTGGTTCCACAGTTGCCCTAGAAGTTTGAGTTTGGATATTTTTTGGTGAAACACTGTGGACAATTTAGAAAAAAAGGAGTTAAAATGTGGCTAATTTGTTTTTTAATGGGATAATATTTCTTTAAACCAGGTGTTGGTGATCCTTACAATGACAGAGAGCATTTAGAGTGACATTATTGGAGGCTCTCAGCTAAACGTCAGATAAAACAAAGAATATGATCAAGCTTAAGTTTAGGCCTTTTAATGACAACAAATATCCACCACCTTTAACCTTAAAGAATGTTGTCACCTCTGAACTAAACCGTCTTTTGAACTTAATAAAAAAGTAACCAATTGAATGTTTAATGCGTTTAACCATATCATGTAACTCCACTGGAATCACAGGCTAAGAGCTTGAAGTAACTGCTACTACTCCTCTAAGCTAGGCAAGCTATCTTTTATATCTTATATGTTTTAGAAATATTGGCTTGGTTCGTTTCTCTAAAGAAAGTCAAAAGGGTTTCAATTTTGCCTCTGACTTTTTGGTACGACTAAGTTGCTTCAGTAAAGTAAATCGCGCAAGTTAGTATTTTAGCTCACCATGCAAGGCTAGGCTAGCTAGCCAGCTAGCCAGCTGCCTGAGAACCACATCAGTTCCCCTGTTATTCTAAAATGTCCTTTTTTAAGAATAAACAAACCCTGCAAATAATGTGCTTGCCTAGCTCAGTGAAGAAGCAGTTGATGCCATATATGCAGCTATACTGACTTTATGCTACAGAGTCTTCTACTTCTTAATTTCTTTAAAGATTGAGTGGAATTACCTTTGTATAAGTCTATATTTTATTGTATTTTAAGGAAAAAGCCTTCACCCAGCATTATATAGAAGAGGTTTGTTTTGGACATGAGAAAGCTTTGATGTCTGGCAAAGCTTTTCATTATGCGTTCTCAGGCTCTCAGTGACTTGAAATAACACTGTGTTCTGTGCTCTTACGAACCCAACCCTTATTTTGTTCTGGATGTAATAACACAATGAACGCAGTAATGGCAGGATTTCATGCAACGACTCAAAATTGAATTATGAACTGTTCATAGCTTTCCCACTGTGAAATCTGGCCTGAATAATTCAAGATGAGCCTGGCTAAGACAACCTCAGTCCTGTGATTGTGGAAGTAAATGATCTCCGCTGCCCTGCTCTTCCTCTCAGGAGAACACAGATCTTTACTGACACTATAGTCACTAACATCGTTTCATTAACCTAAAGATCTGAGTGGAAATTGTTGTGCACCCAGGACTAAAATGATCCCCTTTTAACCCTAACAGATAAATTGATCTCCAATTTCCAGGAAATTCAATTTTCCATGTTCCTCCTTTTTTGAGTAAATCTACTGGAAATTTGGATATTAGAGAAAAAACAAGCTATTTACAAATTCATCTTTTTTTCCCTCTCCTTTCCCAACAGCTTCTGCCATATCTACAATCTAATTTGACTGGATTCAAGCACCTGGAAATTCTTAACTTTCGTAACGGGAGTGTTGTGGTAAACAGCCGGATGAAACTAGACAAACCTGTACCTTACAATGTCACAGAAGCTGTTCACTGTGTGCTCGAAGACTTCTGCAGCGCGGCATCCAAACGTCTGGACATCGAGATTGACAGTCGCTACTTGGAAATTGAACCAGGTGAGATGTCCTTTGTTGCACAGAAACATTTGAATGTTTGTCTTCATTTGTTTTCAAAGGTTACATAACGAATTAAAATCTTGTCCCGGTCGTGAGGGTGCTGACTCCTCATGCAGAAAAAGAAAATCAATGAAGTGTTCTTGCACTGTCATACTCATTCATGCAAGGTCAGAGCGCCTGTCCACAACACGCATCCTCACTCGGCTGTCTTTTTTTTGACTGGGGAAGGATTGATCTGCTGCATCTTTTTGCTGGGAGGAGTTCTGGACTGTATTTGACCTCATTATGCCCACCTTATTTAAAGCAGACACCCTGGTCCACATCAATCAAAATGGCATTTAATTTCTCCTCTGAATATGCAGAGAGCGAGAGACAGGTTGACGCTGCATAAATGTTAATTAGCTATCACCTCCCTGGTCTGTATTTCTTTCTACACCTCTTCTCTTCTCTTATCTCCTACTTCCCATCTCCTCTCTCCTCTGTGTTGTTTTCAGCTGACGGAGCAGACCCCTGTAAGTTCCTGGCTTGCAATGAGTTCTCACGCTGCGTGGTGAACCGTCGGACTGATGAGGCAGAGTGTCTGTGCGATCCGGGGTACAGCACCGTGGACGGCCTGCCCTGTCAGAGCACCTGCATTCTGCAGCCAGACTACTGTCTGAACGGAGGCCTGTGTGAAATAATCCCTGGGCACGGAGTCAGCTGCAGGTACGCAAATGCTGACCAACCAAAAAAGACACAAACGATGACTCAGCTTTTGTTAAGGCTTTTCATCCAAAGTGAAAGTGTAGACCTATACCTGGATTGTAAAATCACTCCATATCTTAACAGTCTTTTGAATACAATTGCAAGCACAAGTAGAGATAAATTAAAATATCTTCCTTGGTGATGCATTCAAGGACAGTCAAGATTTTTGCTGACTGCTGTTGTAATTGCATTAACTATGTTCTCACTCAATACTCATTGTGAAAATCTTAACTGGGGCATATACTGTAGATGTAATACATACTTTACATAAACAAGGCTAACTTAGTAAAACGTCAAAATATATCATCAACAGTTAATCTTGATTCCCTGGTTAGATATAATTGTGGAAACATGTGAGGTCAGATAGTAAGTAATAAGGAACATTTTTTATTTGTATGGGACAGAATGGAAAAAACTGAACTTAAAAGCTGCAACATTTCATTGGTTTTTAATGTCATATGTATTACTATAACATAAGGGAAGGGTATTGACATATTTCAGAAGTAGAAGTCATCCAGACATTTGAAAAGCATTTCCTCTAGGCCATGTAATCAAAGTGGGAATGTCATCTTGTACACACACAGGGTGTCCTCTTTCCTCTAACTAAGCTGTCATTTTCCTCGACTCTCTTTCAGGTGCCCTTTAGGTAAATACTGGCACTACCATGGAGAACGCTGCAACGAGATGGTGTCAATGCCAGTTGACCCTTCGCTTATTGTAACCTGCCTCGTGGGAAGTCTCTGCCTTGTTTGTGCCATCATTGGCCTTTTGATATTCATAAACAAGAAATGTATAAAGCCCAAAAAGACCTTAACCCTGGTGTAAGTACGAGCCCTTTTACATTTTAAACCTGTAAACATTTGATTTTTTTTACAAGGTGTTGTTTTGTTTTAGTGATTTATGATGATTTGCATTGTCAGCATTATTATTTACCACCTCATCTCCTTTACATTGTAGGAACACCCTTTCACCTTATGCCTTTGAGAATACTTTGAGGGTGAACCCAGTATTTGAGAATGATGATGGTGCCTTAAGTCAAGTATCCACATATCCATGTCCTTCAAGTTCTGCTTCTTCCCAACAGTCTGAACAGGAACATTTTGCCACTATTGAAAATATACATCTGAGTATCGAGGTACAAAGTGCTGCATAGGACAAGTTACTTAACTACTAACCTGGACCTTTATCCTCAGTTATAACCAATAACTCTAACAAACTCTCTGCATATGATTGTCCCGTTTTCATTGCAGCAAAGTTTGTGTTTCTCTCATCCTCCCCACGTTAAATATTTGTTGTGCACCACATGCCTGATGTATCTTTTAGCGTTATTTAAAGAATGTTTAAAACTATTCAGGATAGTTATAATAGAATTTAAATGTCGATAATGTCCTCTGATACCTTCTGTAATTACAAAGACATCTAGTTTACAACTTTAAAGAAGCTTTGTACAAGGTCTAAGAAGGATGCATAGTTTTAACAACTACTTCTGTATTAGCAGCTGCAGGCATGATGTTCTGTAATAGATCTTTCTCTCTGGCAGACACTTGTATTGCTATATTGCCTCCTTTTACTCATACTGCATCTGCTCATCTGGTTGAAGTGCCTGATGGTTCTATAAGATATTTATGAAGCACAATGTAAAGAGTGGTCGCCTCTCTGTCTCCACAGATCCCCAGACAGCTCTACACAACAAGATCAGAAAAGTTAGTCTCAGAAATGGTGGACTTCCATCACTGTATACCACATAATGAGGTGAGCAGCAAAGAAATACGTTGACCCCCTGAATCCCCAAAACATTATGTTGCAAAAAGTAAAAGAGAAAAATGTGGATCTTTGTAAAAAGAGTTCAAATATAGTTTGAGAAATACTCAAAACAATGAAAGACATTCAATGTGCATTTCATCTGAATGTCACAGAGTGTTGCTGATATTATATTTATTGACTCTTTCATTGAATATTTTGCAGATCTATGGTGTTTACAGAGGTAAAACACGAGTTTGTAGCCCTTTTAAATTTTTTTCAGTCAAACCAAATCCCATAGTTTTAACATCAACCTATTTTAACGCTGACAATATCTGACCTTTTTTTTTTTGGATTTGATCATTGATTCTGCAACAAAACAAATCATGTTTGTCTTTGAGTATTTGATTAATTTATCCAATGCAATGCATCTTTGTGTATATCTAGAGTAACAATGGCATTTGGTGACTTTATGTTGAAATCTGAAGTGACTTCTTTTTTTCAATCTCTCTCTCCCGTCTTCTGTTTTCTTTAGACTTGTCGTCGGCAAAATGAATACAGGACATGCTGGTTCATAAGGGCGCCTGAGAACGAATGTTGTGAAGTCACGGATGTCTGATGACACCTTGGAGCAAAGGCCAGGGTGACAAAGCACAAAAACAAAGACTGATGTGACTGTTTAACTGTAAACAGAGGCATGCGAGAGTAGAGCAGAGAAATGGTGATTAAAGTGTTGAGATTAATTCTTCATAGTGATGAAAGTGTCTCTTTAGACAGAAAGCTATGAATACTAAGTGGAACCTAACTATTATTCTATATGTTGAACGATAGGAACATTTCCTGTATAGGGCTGGCAAAGGTTCTTCTTTCCTCACAATGAGGTATTTATTATTTACAAACCGATACACATGGTGGTATCTCGAGCTTAGACTTTAAAATGTTGTTTATTTTAATGCCATTCTGAACCACTGTTGTGTCCCAAAACGAGAATGAATGTATGAGCTGGTTGGATGCTGAGCTGTATTTCCATCAGTCCGTCTCATTTGAAACACCTCGTCCCACCAATCATGTCTCATTTGTTTTTTACACATTTTGCATTTCAAGGCAAAGAATAAAAAGTATTTTTTTTGCATCAAAACCGTGAAGTTTTCTTTGTTTTTGGCTGCTTTAAGGTTGTCATGGCTGATTCATTGAGCCTGTTGTGACAAATGAAAAAAGTAGTTATGGCTGATTGAAAGGCTGAAAGTACGGAGTGCTTTCATCTTCCTTCTGTTGAATGGGGGTTACTTATTATAACTGTGTATGCAATGGATAACAAGCCTTTAGCATGAAGCGAACTATTCAGCAAAGATGCTACTTTTGATGTGTTAGTGTTTTTAATTGAAAGCCAAAAGTACAAAAGAAATGTTCAGTCGGCTTTAATCCAGACAATCAATTAATGGGGACATGCCTCAGATCAATGATGACATCAGATCAATGATGACATCAGAAGTACATTATCTTTTATTGTTTAATTAATCTCAAATCTAATCTCGTTAGTTACTTTTACCTTTCAATGTCAGATGCATTTACAGAGCATTGACCGCAAGAGGCTTTCCTACTATTGTGTCATGATGAACTCTCACTTGTCATCTGTAGCTAAAAAAAAACAACAACCACAAACATCCGGGCGTTTTGTTTATTGTTCTACTGTATTCAGGTGTAAAGGCAAACAAACAACCAGATCCAAGAGGGAAGGTTTTAAAGTGAATAAAAACTCACAGTTGGCTACTGTAACTGTCTGTAAAACCTAAAACAGGGGCAGTCATGACATTTATTTGCTCGATAGAATATTACATGACACACATAACACAGACACACACACACACACACATTACATTGTTTTTCTGTAAAAGAACCCCAAACCCACAAAACTGCAAACATGAAAACGTCTACATTTCCTTTTTGCATAACAAATACAAAAAACAAGTTCACTATCGGAGGATTTTAACAGTGAACGGAGGTGTTAATGAAGGAGCAAAGTAACAGATGGGTTAATAGAAATTGTTATAAACCATGTGGCATGTGTCATGTAGCAAACATATTTATGAATATGGATTTCTTACTTTTATAAAGTTCAGACATGAAAAAGTTATTAAATTATAAACATTACAAGATGTTGATTCTGTGATTACTCTGAGCAGAACAGACAGTCTCATACATTTATAAATGTACAATAAAACATGTCTTTAGTTCTTTAAGCCGTAAATTAGATTTAATTAATTTAATTATAGTAATCAGAGAATTTATGCCTAGAAGACTTTAAACATTGCATTTAAAAGTAGATCTTCAGATTTTCTTAGAAAGTCTAACTCTTTGTCCCAGTTGTAGAGCATTTAGGTTTAATATTAACAGCTAGAAGGGCGAGAAAATAGTTAAGACTTCTGTGGTGTAGTGCAGTTTGTTGCAGTGTAAGGCCTCCTGGTGGATTCATACATTCAAGAATAGATTCAGAAAGAGACGTCACACAAATGCTTATTCTACACCAAACCGGTGTAACACACCAAAATCCAGATATAAAAAGTCAAAATAAACAAAATACAGGAAATGAAAAAGGACAAGCCTCAGTGAAACACTGAGTGGCTACAGTAAGGTTGTATACAGAGCATCTTTCCCTCCATCCCACAAACCGCAGGTACACAGTGCTGCTCTGAACGTGCAGGTTTGGGAGTCTGTGTATCAGTGTCATGTTTCAGGACATGCATGCGTTTATCTCTCCGTTCTGGGTCACTTGAGGAGACTCTGAAGCATGGCGGTGGCGTGCGTGGGCCGGGCCTGCTTGTTCTCGATGGCTCTCTTGAGGTACTGGATTCCGTCACAGCGTTCCCAGATCTCTTCAAACTGCCTGGGCAGGATCTCCGCCCCTCTTTTCCTGGTCAGACCCGTCTCCTCCAGACTGAGCTCGCACATCTCCATATCGTCTTTCCCTGAGTGGTGGAAAAACAGCGATAAAGTTTTAGTGGGAGGACAAATTTGTTGCATGTTCTAATGCAATTTTTGCATTTTCACAAATTCCAGAAACTAACCATTTCGATCTCTCAAAATTTAATAGTTTCAACAATCCTAAAGGCCGAATACAAATATTTGGTTGGTTGCACAAAATGTGGCCTATAAACTGTATCGAGTTAGCTATCGAGTTAGACTAACTATCGCTAGTCAAGAAGTAAATGATTACAAAACCATCATCACAAAAAAAGTACAACACAAGAAAGAACAGGACAGAATGGACAGTATAATAAATCAAGACGAAGGTACCTTTCAATAAACTTTCCAGTGATGCTCTCTTTTTGATTTACATGATCAAAATGAAAGACTGCTGACTGACCTGCGACTAAAACGATCGGCCGTTTGTCCGGGTGAAGCTCCATCTGTCGGGCTATCCAGGGCCCGTCGAAGTGGGCGTACCACCAGCCCTTCTTTTTGTTCTGGGGGTCTTTGTACTGGTCGGCCGGTCGGATGAAAGGAATGCGGAAATATCGCTGCTGGCGGTTCATGGCCACTTCCTGATGCTGAGCTGTTACGGGAGGAGCCGGGTTCTGTTCAGCTGCAGGAGGACAGAGCATGATTACTGAATATGTGTTTGTGTTAAACATGCAAATTGTTCTCTCCAACAAAGCACCTGAAATAACATAACCTTTCATACCTCATGTTTTGTTTTACTCTTTTGTAACAGCAGAGATGACACAGAGTGAGGAAGGAAACAAAGTATAAAGCTCTCAAAACATACAAGATGAAAGAGAATGCAGGAAATACACAAATATGACATGAAGAGAAAAAGCAGCTCAGTCTCTTATGAAATGGCCTTGTGGAGACCCCAGCTGCATCAGTGAAAGCCAAGAACAAGAGCCACATAGAAGAATGCCTGTGTGCCTTTCAGAAGTTATCTTATCAAAAGAAAAAGAGGGGGTAAATATAGTGAAAGCAGAAGCAACAGTGCTCCCTTTCCCCATCATGTTCGATCTTTGTTTTCAAGATGAAAAAGGAGGGAAATGAAGAGCACTGGTACGCTCTCAGGCAGCCAAATAACATGTTTGTGTTGTTGCTGCTTGGCTGGGTTGTGCAATGACTAAAGTGTGGAGCTGTCATACCAGCATCTTTTTGAAACCTGACAAAGCACGTCTGGCAGTTATATTCTTCTAATTTACTAATTAGAAGAAATAAGACCAGACAGGGTTAGGGTTTTAGAGCCTTGGTCTTTAGTCAGCTAGTCGCATGTTAGAAACACAGGAAGGTTATTTATGTGCAGGTTCACAATTTCTACCAATGACAGCGTGAGAAGAAAGCATGGAAACTATTTACTTTCCCCCTGTGACCTAATGTTCCTGAGGTGAGGTGTGCACATATGAGATGTTGTGAATGTACAGATTTGTGTTCATCTTCACAGGTGAAGCATAAAACACAATAGTTCAGAGTAAGGGGATAATACAGGGGAATTATTTCTGAAACCTACCGTAGTCAGTGACAGATTTAGGAGCCCTTTGATCGCTTCCATCATCAGTGCGTTTCTTGTTCTTGGACTTCCACGCGTGATAGACCTTCAGGCGCCGGTGGAACTCCTCTCTGCAGGCTGCCAGCAGCTCAATGTCTGTCCACATAAAATGTCAGCAGTCAAACATAACTCTACATCAATATAACATAAAGACACTGGGGGAAAAAAAAACACACTAAAATGCCATTGTCAATGAAGGCAACATTTGGGACTAAAGCAAGTATGTTGGAGAGAAGTTTACAGCATGTTTAGTTTCGTTGAGCTTGTCTTTTAGTTTAAAAGTGAACACAATTTAATGAGGAGTTTAGGAGCTCACGCTGTGTTTTCTCCACAACCAATAAACACAAAGGAAACATTCAAAACATACACAGCTTCTATTGAACATGAGGCTATAATCAGTCAGACCTCAAACTCAGCTTTGTTGGTATCACCACCAGTACAACCAAAGCTACTGGGTTCCACAAATTAACCAGATGTCTGTCTTTGGATTCCCACAGGGGGGATATCAGAGTCCCTCACACTGATCAGAGTAGTGTACACAGAGACAATTATAAAGGAGCAGAAAGGCATCTGCATTTCATGCTGATTGAGGAGAGGGTTGGCCCGGGAATCACTGGGAAGGGCAAGAGTCTGGCAACCTCTAGAATGATCATCATTTCCTCTCTACACGGCTAAATACATGCTGATGAGCTGAAGCAGCTGTGGGACCATCCTCTGACCGGTCTTTTGACTTTCCCGGGCAAGAAATACCGTGTCCACACTCTGTATAGCAGCAGGCTTCACTATAGTCACTTCTGCTTGCACGTTTAGAAAAGGTACCATGTGTTTTAGAGTGCCAAAAACTGTTGTTAACAATTAAGAATACATATCGTTTCACTGAGAGATCTACCACTGGATCTTCTTGTAAAGGCTGGTTCAGTGCAAACCACCTCAGTGAAATTGATAAGAGCGACATCTCGCTGAACATGAGTGTGTTTTCTCACCACAGGAAGTGTTGATGACATCTCGCAGCTCAGCATACTTCCACTTGCTGAGGTCGTACTTTTTCACACCGGCAGCAGCTTTGGTTGCCTGCACCTGAGGACCCCTGTGGCACAGAACAGATGAACATGAGAGAGATAGAGAGAGAGAGAGAGAGACAGTAAAGAAAAGTGTACAGACAAGTAAGACGGTGATTAAGTGGGATGACCTGAGTGTAACTCTGCTGGTTCTACGATTTTTTTTGAGTTCGTGTGCTGTGCAATTTCAAGGGCAGACAAAATATGAACATGTTAAGTTTGACAGAATTTAAAATGCTCGCTGTATTGAGAAATGAAAACAGTTGCTTTCACAGCCCTGCCCGTCGTTGTCTCAGCCAATTAAATTCACATCAGAAGCAGCTCAGCGGGAGAGCTGATGAGCAGAACTTGGCCATAAAGATGCAAAGAGCTTCTAATGTCACATCTCTCCGGATAACAGCATTGATCTGAGTGTTATTTTTTACAGGCTTCTTTTAAAACAAAGGTGAAATGATGCAGTTCGTCTGTATATAAATCAAAGTTATAGTGCAAAGATTACAGCTTCTTAAATGACTGCTGGAAGAAGTCTGAGTTCATGTCAGGCGTGTCTCCAGCTTCCCTGCTGAGTTGAGGCTGCTAATGCTTTAATACTCAGGACTTAGCTCCTCTATTTACAGTCGGCATAGCTGCTAATGTTTCAGGGCAGAGGATTACTGATGTACGAATCATTAGCCAGATTACCATTACCATTTATAATTCATACTGGCTGGAGAGATGAAACTGATTCGGGATCATCGTCATTCCAGCAGAGACATGAGCCAGTGTGTTGCAGCCAGGGGGGGGAAAAAAAGAAGTGAAAGTGTATCTTCTTTCAGGATTTTGTTTTTTGGCAGGGGGGTGTGCAGGAAATGGATGGTGGAAGAAAGATGGAGATGATCCTCCAGCTTCTACTGTAGGCCAGCAAAGCCTGCCAGAGTGTTTACTGTTACGGCACACGTGTTTTTCATGAGTTTGGAGCTCTGTGGCGTGCACATGTAACACACGCTGCATTTGGACTTTCTCTCTTGTAACAGATCTCCCTTTAGTTTCCAGCAGTCAGCTGACCCACAGGGATTGAATCAAACATGCAACGAGGCCACGGCATGCCCGAGTCAACACTGACAAGATAATGGGATATTGGCTCAGATGTAATTTAGAGCTCAACGGACCTGCAAGGTGCAAGCAGGCTTTCTCCTGGCTTTTAACACTTGTATGAGTTTGTGGATATTCAGGGCAGCTTATTCTGCCAAGTTCAAGACCAATGAGAATAAACTGGGAAGCTGTGACAGGGATGCTTATGTTGCTGTATTCAGGGAGAATCGTAAAGCATGTTTCTGCTGAGCATACACTACTTCTACCCTTTTCCCTTCACTTTGTCAATAATTTTCTGTCTCTATATAGACACAGATAATAGAGTTAAGCTCATTTATAACACAGGAGATTACATAGAGAAAACTTGGTACCTTTAAAATGTCTAACACCAAAGTGAAAAATCTGAACGTTGCAGTTATTGTCATGGTGGTATATGAACAGGTTGGATAAAAAAAACTCCATGTATGGGTGAGGGGAAGCACATAGGTTGTGCTTTGCATCAGCACTGCAAAGACTTCAGGCGTAACTGCTCATGCAGAGCCAATTAAGATCTGAGAAACAAAAGATCACATACTGCACATTCTGATCCAACGCTCATTTATGTTTCACCATCCTCATTTCTCAGTAACCAATGATCACACATAATTGTCCTCGAACTGACTTTTCTAATGATTCCAAAGAAGTAAACCATGCATCAAAATTTGATTTGTTTCGATAATAGAATCTCGCTGTTGGCTTTGCATTGCTGGTATCATGCTGAATTTAATTAAAGGAGCTCAGACATTTAGGTCTACGACAGAGATTAGGACAGACAGCGAGGGAGGGGGTGGGTGATTATTGTTGGTGATAGGTTTACTCGGATACAGAAATCCCTGCTGGTATCTTACATGGCTCTGGCTGAGGATGAAGAGATAGGAAGATCTGAAAGAGAGTCATCACTGGGAGAAAACACAGCAACGGATGAAATGCAGTTACACACACATGCTGAGGCCAAAATGACATTTTTCTTTATTGTTCTGCCTGTGCGGTGCTCACAATCATTCAATATTGTGCTAAAATGCACATTACCTGCGCAGGCTGGCATCTATTTGCCCTTCCTCTGTGATGAGCTCCGCCTCGCTCTGAGCGATCCTCATTGCTAACTCTCTGTCTCGTCTCTCCTGCTCCAGTATCGCGCTGCGCTGGACCTGCTCCTCGCGCTCCAGAGCCAGCTGAATATCCAACTCGGCCTGTAAGCACACAACAAAACACTTGTGTGTTGTAAAATCGACAAAAAGCTGGATCCTGTCTTAATAATGATGCAGCCCTGTGTGCCAAACCCTTCATAACAATGAGGGCTCTTCTGGGCACCTGAACCTGCTTAAACCTATTAAGCCAGGCGGAAGTGCTTCTAAACGAGCTTCATTGGTCATCAGTCTGTACACAACTGGTAAATAAACAAACACATTTTGAACTATAAGGAGGGACACTCTTTCAAGAGCTGAACCTGATTCAAACTGCATGGTTTAAACGTGGACATATAAACTACAGCTTTCTGCTGAGAATACACAGAATGAGATGAACTGAGTTACACATCTATCAGTATACATAGTATATAATCTCCATCTCCTTACTGAAAGCCACCAATGAAGTCAACAGCGGGTGCTTTTCTCATAGGAGCTTTAAATATGAATGGCCTCCAGTTGAGAATACATTATTCATAATGTCAGTCAAATCAGCAGCTGTGATACGTGGGGGAAGCATGAGAACCAATACTTTAAACTGTAATGACATCAGTTTGAATGTTCAGCTGCTTTATGCTGTAGTTTTATTTGTGCTGTGTCTTATAGACACCTGTTGATCCTGCTCAAAATAGCTTTATTACACAGATTAACAAGCTCTGAAGCAGGTATTTAAAGCTGAACCTTACTCTCTCCCAGTTCATTTAACTATATTTCCATCCAAAAAAGAGAGAGTTGTTTGTGCTCACAAGCATTCGTTAAACTGTTTTGAGTGAGAGGATTTATACAGTGAAAACCTGTAATTAGTGGTGCTACCCTCTAAAAATATAAATACTCCAGTGTTGAAATCTAGATGTTGTAGAAAAAGTAAAGTGAGGTTGAAAGGGTTAAAGAGAGTAAGAAAGTGCAGAACTTGACTTTTGACGCAAAACAACAGAATAAAATGCAGTGGAACTCACAGCAGAAAACCTTAGAAAGTTTACTGCTGCAGCTCTCAGCCTCAAAGCTGTGGATACACAAACAAAGAGTCTACTGGAACATGTGGCCTGTGACAGCCTGGTGTCCACTGTCTAACTGCTAGAAAGAAAGGAACAAATCGGACAAATGCAACTGTCTAACAGGTCATGGGTGAATAAAAAAGGCTAAAGATAAACAGAAGGTGTGATGTGCATGTCACAGGTGGATGAGTGGAGTGTGATGAAAGGTAAAAAGACAGAGGTGGATAAAGGTGTCTCGGTGAAGATGAGAGTAGGAGGCTTGACATGAAAACAAAAGATAATGCACATACAGATAAGTACGTTTAGAAATGAGAAACTAAGCAGGAAGTGGAAGCTATAAGATCCTACTATAGGATCAGGATTTTGCTGTGCAAAAATCAACTTTAAGAAACAGGACATTCATATTTACTATTTACTATGATGCTGTTGTGAGTTGTTTTTTGTATTTTTAAATATTTAAGAGAAAACCTAAGGGCCATGTGTGCTTGTCGAGCGACTTCTTATGTGACACCACCAAACATTTGTTTTGTTTGTTGTCTTGGGGAGCAACTAAAAAATCTGACCCTTAATCAATGTATTTTATTATGGAATAACATTCTCAATGATACAACTGCTTTAGTGTTTTCTAAAAGGTCGTAGGTCAGACAACGTTGCTTGAATAACAGTGCTTGCCAAACCCTTAAGAAAGTCAGAGAAACAACACATAATCCTGAAGGTGGAAACACACAATGTTGGCTGCTTTAACTTCTTCAAAATATTATTTAAACAATTAAATAATTAATAATTGTTGCACCTACTGATCAATCTGATCCATTTATTTCCTGACAAGTGGTTTTAGCCCTATTTGTTTAACTTTAAATATAAAAAAATGAGAAATGTAGTATTCTTCCAGCAACAATATAGACCTTGATACTGTTGAAAATGACTGAATGAAGGTCCCACTTAGTCTAGGATTAGGATTAAGTCTGGGGAGCTATCTTGCTTGGATGTAATTAAAATATCAGGGTATGAGCACTAAGACACTGCAGGGGTGGAGTGGTCAGTTACCTCATTAGGGTTAAACAAAAGACTAAGAACAAACCTCAGGGAGCCATGTGTTTCTAATTTATTTACAACTAAAAATTAAATGTATCAACAGTAGAACGTCTTTGAAAAGAGGGTAAGTGTGTATACAACATGAGATTCAAACTAATAATGGTTGGGTTTTCTTGAGGGCTTTCTTGAATTTCTGCCTGGCTGATTTTTTTTTGTTGCAGTGAAGTGAAACAACAATCAAAAAACTACATTTTGGGAGGCTCCAAACCTGGATCACTTTCTCTTCCCCCTCCCTCTTCTTTCTATCCTCCTCCTCCAGCTTTCTCTTGATCTCCATCTCTGCTTTCCTGAAATGTAAGAAGAAAATCACTTAACTGAAACAAATAACAAACAAGTCACTTTTCATACTTTAAACAAAGCACATGCCAAAATCTTTCCTCATAATGTTCCCCGGCTCTAACTTACAGTCTCCTGTCCGCTTCCTCCTGTTTGCGCCTCTGCTCCTCTTTGTCCCTCCTCTTCCTCTCTTTCTCCATTTCCTCCTCGATGTGTTTCAGCCTCTCGCTCTCTTCCTGCTCCTGCTTCTTCTTTTGCATCGAGGAGAGCAGCTGCTCGGAGCGTTTCACCAGCCCCTGGTACTCAGTGTCAATCTCTTTCCAGGTCATCAATGTAGACTAGTGAAAAAGAAGAACACCAGAGTGGCCGGTGATGGTCACTTAAAACAGAAATACTGATCAATGAATTATAATCTTACAGTTTTTCACTATTCAATAAAAAAAGTTTTTGAAATGACTACCCTCCTTCTCCTCAGCCTCTTTCTCATCTTGCTCCTCTTCCTCGTCCTCCTACTTCAAAATTGTTCCAGATTGTTGTGCACACAAAAAAACAAACCTAACTCCCGTATTCAAACTCCGACTTCTGTGTGATCTGATTGGTTACATGTGTCTCCACAGTTCAGGAGATTGTTAACCGAGTGTGATATTTCAGTGGCAATGTTTAGCAATTAACACACACAGGCTTTCAGTTATGAATAGTGTGTCTTAATGTATGGACGTTTTTCAAACCACTGTGTAGTGTTTTGAAACCACGACCATGGCACAACCTATCGATGTGGTAACCAGGCAAAATAATGACTGGCACAGTGCCTGTCACTTGCACATGACAGCCAAAATGTTGAATTGCCCACTTTACACAACACACAATCAACAAGAGGAGAAGAGGTCACCAGATAGTGAAGATTCACCAGAAGGAGTCTGACACAGAGAGGTCACATGACAAGGCCTTGTCCCCGACGTATTGAAGTCTGAATGACAGCCGTTGTCACCTCATGCATTATTCAAGAGGAGATGTCATGCCAGGAGGAATTTATAAGCACTCAGAATGCCATGAGTGTCCACAGTTGGGATGCTGATAGGCTAACAGAGGGGCATAAGGAAGAAAGAGAGGCTGATTGGCAGGGTCAGGAGTCGCATGTGCATCATCATCATCAATCAGGAAACCTTGAGGAACCTATCTACAACCAGTATTTTGCATTCAGGTGCTGATATACAGCAAACAATTTAGATGCCTGGTGGAAGTGTTTGTGGTGACTGTTTATTGCACAGGGAGAGCAGGAATTTCACTAAGCATGTTGGATAATTTAGCAAAAACAGCTCCACTACATTATGTTGTCAGAGAGGTTTTTTTTCTTCACGTAGCATTTTATCCTGTGGTGATTGAAAATATTGATTCTGTGAGCTTGAGAGAGAGAAAGAGAGAGAAAGAGAGAGAGAGAGAGAAAGAGAGAGAGAGAAGGGTGGGCCCGCTGCAGAAAAGCCACAGTGAACAACAGGACAGCCTGGTACTGGCAGGGAGCTACAGGTGTGATTGTAGAAGAGAAACATATAAATCCTATGCTGACTTGTTTAAAGGAATGTTTGTGCTCTTCCTCAGATTCAAACATTCAAAAAGAAAAACGTCTTAAGTATACTCTTTCCTTAACAATTAACCATGCTCAAAAAAAAGCAAACTGATGGCTAAGCAGCTTAAAAAAAAATCAATAGAGAAATAATCCTATGGCTGTACAGGTAGACAGAGGGGAACACAGTCAGGCCTGATGACTCACCTTTATCTTTGCTGACAGAGCATCTATGGAGGCAGCCAGCTCCTGGACCTTTTTGGCCATCTCCTGCTTGCCCTCCTTTAGCCCGTTCACCACCTCGTTGAATCGCTCCATGTGCTTCTTCAGGCCACGAACCTTCACCATACCGTCAATACTACGAGAGACAGGAAAAATACAGTCTTACACAAATAGACCATAAGGAGTTTTCTACAACTTAAAATTACTACATTTATTTCCATTAAAAATCTATTCATGTAAAATAACGTCCTGTAGACATCTTTGAGGACTTATCTTAAACACAGGGGCGCACATTATAGTGTTCTGCTCAAATGTGATTTGAGTTTACAAACTTTCACTAGCCATCTTCTAACTTTGCTCTTAGCTGTTAGCTTGAGGATCTTTGTATCCAAATTGACATGTAAAGATGCTGCCAGGTGAGTTTTTGGATCACAGTTGGCAAAAACTTTGCAAGAAAGCTCTATTGTGTTCAAAATGTTCTCATTTCCCTCGTCCCTTCTATTCCTGCCGCTCTGTAAAGTTGGTGAGAGACGTTTGGGTGCTCCTTTACAGCTCTGAATCGCCCTGTGATTGCCAAGCTATACCCTGTAGTGAGCGCTTCATTGAAACCTGGACAATGAAACTTTTTTCAACAGATTTCAAACATTGTCCTTAGCTGTCATGAAAGATGGATATATAAATCTTAAAAAATAACAGCCTCCATATTGAAGTACAAAAGATGATCATGTGTGTCTGTTGGTATCAAACGTTTCCTCTGTCATCCACACACATTCTGTCACTCAAAGTGTCTGACACAGATAGCTGCTTTTACCAGAGCCATTTTTCCAAATGCAACTTCAATACAGAAAGACACGCTGTATTTTCCCGAGCAGTACAGTGAGACATCATTTCTCCACAGATGACTTTCGAGATGGATTTGAACTCCTAAATTCACAATGTGAGAAAGCCATCAAAACCAACCAAGCATGAATCAGTTTAAAGAGAAAGAACGCAAAGGGTGCAGGGTGAAATGAAAAGATACGAGAGCAGAGGGCACAGACGGAGAGGAAGAAGGTGTAAAATCATGCATGTGTGTGTCTCTCTCTGTATGTGTGTGTGTGTGTGTGTGTGTGTGTGTGTGTGTGTGTGTGTCTGTCTGTCTGTCTGTGTGTGTCTTTGTGTTAGTTAAGGACAAATGCTAGGCAGAGACTCACCGGGGCTTATGCTTCTTCTTACACAACCACATGCGGACGGTCTTTTGAATCTTGATGCAAGCCGAAGCTCTGTAACTCATCTTGTTGCGAACTGTAAAGAAAAAGATTCACACAAAGACTTAATGAGATCTTTAAGTTGTCTTTAGGGGGGTTCAAGTTCTGAACATGAACTGAAACTTCCCCCCTGATTGAATGTGCTCTGGGACTTCTAACATTGTTGTTCCCTATTTCTCTAACCCCTCATGTTGTTTCTACTCAAACTTAGTCTCTCAATTAAAGGAAATGCAAAAATCTAAAATAAATAATTTGCATTTGCACAGCATACTTCATTGTTCTCTGACGCATTGAGATGCTCATCTGCAAATACCGAGAAGTTCAATAATGTCCTCTTTTATTCAAATATGATGGAAATGTAGAAATGGATTTTTAAAATTCATATATGATCTGCATAAACATGTACCTAAAAAAATTATGATACAGCTTTGAGTTGACGGCGATAATGGCTACTACACATTGACAAGTAAAGTGATAATAGAAATCAGATACAACACTGTGATAATAAGGTGGAGACGTACATTTCCTCAGGTTACAGGTCAACAAATCACGCAGAGGCAGCGTTCTGTTCTAACTCTAATGTAGTTTCATGTGATGCTTTCACACAAATAAGCAGAAGCCTGCACTTTGTTATTTGGTGGAAATCAATAACTTGACACACAATGTAATGGTTCGAGGAACTGCTTTTAGAGTACTTCTCCATACTGCTGCAGGCTGCTGCTTTCAATATTCAGAATGAATGGGAAAGTGTGAAATATGATTTAGTAAAGCTATCAGAGTTGTTTTATAAACTGTCAGGAAATGACAAAGTCGACCTCTGCAAAGTGAGAAAAGTTTGCCAACACAAATAAGTTATGCTGCTAACATTTATTCAATAACTGATTTTGAATCCGATTGATGCAGTCTCATTTGATGAAGCTTATTTTTCATTGTAAGGGCAAATTGGACTCTTTCTTTTCAGAAATAGCTAAAATGAAAAAAAGAAGTTATGAAATTCGGTGTCTCCATCTGTTTGGGAAGCCATGCAGAGACAATGTTACATGTAGGAGTGTTAAATGATCTATTCTAAAACATTTAATGAATTGATGTTGGCCGTCAGAAGGATCTCAATAATTTCATTTGTACTCCTTTAACCTACGTTTGATGACAGACAAGCTGCACCACTGAACCTTCTTCCAACGGCTACACAACAGCCACGTGTTGACTTTCTTCAGCAGCTCTGCCAGGTGGTCTGGATCAGACTTCATGATCTGGTCGAACTCTGCAAACTGATTTACAAACAGAGAGAAAAACACTAATCAAACTTTGATGCTATTAGTTTGAAAGATGTTCATGATATATTGAGTTCTACATCACGTGTCATTCATTGACTTGTTTGTACCTTTCCAGGGCGAAAGAACACTCGTGTCAATCCAAACTTGAAGTCATTGTCGTTTAGGCCCAGAGCTTTGAACAAAGCCTACCGAGGAACACATTACCTTTAGTCACACAGCATTGTAAATGTGGTTACAAATGTAGAGCACAAAACTGTTTGTTAGCTCATCATTTCTTAAATAGGACAATGTGGCTCAAGGCTTTTTTAAACACCTAATTGGTTTAGATTGTTTTAGTCATTTAACAGATTTCCTATTTATCCAGCGAAGAAGAAAAAAAATACATTTATGTAAGCCTACCTTGCAGAAGAGTCGTGGATTCAGGCGTGTGAGCTTGTCAGGCATGTACTGTTTATACATGTTATAGAGTTCATGGAAGGGAGCTCTGGAGGGGAAACCCCCCTGCATCAGGTCCAACACTGACACCATGCCTAATTACGAGAAACAGACGGAGAGAATATGATTGAGGTGTTACAACTCACTGATAAATGTACACTTCATTTATCAGAGGAACATTTTACATTTAAAGAGATAATCTGTCTCTAAACACTGAATCTTATGCTTCATGTCTTACAAGTACCTAACCAAAGGCTAATGTGTTCATTTGTGTGTATGAAAATGAGCTTAGATCGTGTCTATAGAAGTGAAAAAATTACCATAGCCTTCATGAAAGCCAAATGTTACTTTGATGTAATTACTTTGAAATGTGTGTTGCAGCACCATGCTAACTTCTGCTTCAATAAGCTGTGTGCATGGACTGGAAGATTATTCATTAATCACTGTATAGCAACACAAACACTTCTACTTCCATAATAGCCCATGACTCAAGTGCAGGTGCAACATAGACAAAAACATCTGAATGATTCAGGAATCTTAAAGTCTTCACAGTGAAAGGCTCAGTGTGCTGAACAAGGACAAACCCACACTGAAATATTGTTTATTTAAATAAGAACAGTGTGTTTGACCATGAGTTTCACTCACAATTGAGTCACAGCACACTGAGTCCTACCTGAGCACTGCAGCTGCGAGAGAATCAAAGCTCCTTCAAATTGATGGCTGACCATCTTCAGGTTGGGTTTGACACAGCGAATAAAACTTGAGCCCTGCAAGAAAGAAATATAAAATGACTAGTCTCACCACAGAACTTCTCAATCTTTGCCTGCTCTCTATCCTTTGGTTTGTAATAGTTCTGCAGCAAAAATATATTCCAATGCTTCTCTGTACTTTAAAAGGTTAGTCATTTTATCTTGATTGTGAGCATGAAAGCAAAGAAGTTTTCTAAAAAATGTGAAGTTGAAGTTACAAATGACAAAATATTACTCACAGTACTTCGAAGTTTTTCCAGCAGCAGGTTCAGTTGAGTCTGTGTGTTTAGGACAGAAGGAAGCATTTCATGGTTTGTTGTTAATGTTTGTGAAGAAGATAACCCAGATAGATCTGAGATTAGGTTGTAGTGTCATACATCTTTGTCACAGGTGAGTAAAGAGGGAAACAGTTCAGTCGAGCAAGGACAGAGACACCTTTAACAAGGAAATCCAAGGTGCTTTATATATGACTTCTGGGTGAAGTATGATTATTATGTGATTTGTTTTATTCACTAAATCTACTCTATGGGACCATAGTCACCTGGTGATACTGTTTAAACATGAAGATAATTCATAGTTTTCCAAAATGAGCATATAACTGTTGAACTGAAGAGGACAGGCAGCAGAGTCTTGGGGAACTTGGGGACATTTTTGCATGCCAAGGAATTAAATAACCAATAAGAAAATATCTCTTCAAAGAGTTAAAAACAAGGTGTCTGTGAATGTTTATGTATACACATACAGTTCAGCATGAACATGTTACATGAACACATTAACAAGAAGCCAGTTCAACAAGGGAAATCTTCTTGCGAACCTCTTGTTATTGTTTTATTTTTGTGAGAATTTGTATTTTTTAATTTGTAATGCACACTGTACAATTTCAGTTGGGAAAATGATCTAATATTAAATAGAGCTATCCAAATTGTTTATACATCCGTCTTACAATGAAGTACATGAGAATCTACTATAACATTCATTATTAAGTGTTTGCCTGTGGGGAAATAAAGTTGGAACAAATTAGCAGGAAAATCATTAAATATTTTCTTATAGTTGTGACAATACTGAAATTAAAAAGCTCTGTTGAAATTTGAACTCATTTTTTTAGTCATATTTAATCGTACTGAATTCAGGGATATTTCATGAGCATACAAAAACAGACTGTCAGACAGACGCCCTGACCTTGAACTTGTTGCCAACGCTGATGAAGCTGAGTTTGCCCGCTTTCTGTTTGGAGTCCTTGGCGGTGTTGGAGTTCTCAAACAGCTCCCGAACAAATTTGTCTTTGGATTCACTCACTAAACTCTCCAAGGACATGTGCAGGGCGTCATTGTTCTTCTCCACAAAACGAGTCTATGGACACACACACATGTAAAAAAACACATGTAGGCACGGGCAACATTTTTACTAATGTAAGAAAATGCAAAAAACAAATGGATGCCTCAGTCCCTTCTCCATTCAAATCACATAATTAAAGCATGTGTGAGCCATACTGCTGGTATCATTGTACAATAAGTGAAATGTATTGGAGCTGTAATTAGTTATCAATAAATCTGGTAGTTGATTAATAGAAGATGACAAAATGACACCAAATAGCTTGATGATCAGTAAATCATTTAACACATTTGAAGTGTTTACTAAGTAATGCAACACTTTAAAGGATGACAGACATTCTGAAATTTTACAGATACCTTAAATAATGCTTAACAGAATAAACAGTTCAAGGCTTCATATCTGTGATTAAGATTTAGTTTGCTTTAGCTGCTAGATTCTCCCCCGTCTTATTTGAACAGCCTTTTTTGGTGAAAAAAAAAGAAAAAAAAAAGCTCTAATCTCTAATACCACCCCGCTCTAACAGCTCTGTATAATGAAATCTATGTTATAAAGTACCGTTTCATAGCAGACCGCTCCAGCAAAGTGCCTGATGATAAAGCCTTCGTCATCCCGCAGATTTCTGTGAATGGTCAACTTTGACTTCCTAGGAACCTAAGTGGGACGGGAAGAAAGCAAATCAGATTTAATGACAGTGCTAAAACACATATATATTGATTTCACTCTCATCCAATCCATCACCATCTCTACAGCTGAATTGTGTTTATCCACACCACTATTGAATGAGGATGGCTGGACTGGAGCGTGAAACATTCGGATCAATGACTTGCAGAGAAATCCAGCGGAAAAGCTTGAAATTATGTCATAAATACAGACAAAATCTCACAGGCTGTGGATGGGTTATTTGTAGTAATTTACCATGTTTACTTGCATTGATACACAGGAGGAATAACAACCAAACACATTTACTTATTTATGTTTTAATGCCACATTCATCTCACATGGGCCAATTGATAAAAAAAAAAAATCCATGACTAACATTATTGTTCAGGGTACAAAAAAAAACAATAGCACCTAACATTTCCAGACTCCTTTAGCTTCATCAGGAACCATAATAAATCATCTTTAAAGAGTGGAAACTGTAAATGAGAAATGCCATATCACAGCATATTCAGGCACTTTAGATTAAGATGAATGTTTTTCACCATATTAAATGGACAGAACAACCTTTTATTTGAGCTATAACTCCTCCTGCAGTAGAGTAAAGCTGCAGCCAGCCACCTCTAATCTTAAACTTGAATTGGTGTCAAGGCTGCACTTCTAAAAGGATTTCATGCTTGCAGAGACACAGGCAGAGTGAGGAACAATAATGACAATGGCAGAGACAGAGGGAGGGACTGTGCGTCATTCACCAAACTACTGTTACACACAGGCACGGTAAAAAATGATCACAATGATAAAAAAAACAAACTAAAGTGTATTGTTGCCTCGTCCCTTTTAGAAGGGCCTCAGTGCACAAAGAGGGAGAATAATAGCAGAATACTGGAGAGAAAACAATGACAGAAGCAGAGAGATGCCTGCAACGCCTTTGAATTGGTTTCGAAAATGAGATGCAGGGTGAAAGAAGAGAGAGGAAGGGAGGGAGGGAGAGGGAAAGAGAACACAGCTTAAGAGGTCTGACCGTTAGTCTGAAGTGGTCTTTATGTTTGCTGTGAACAGCCAAAGCAAAGTGTTGGTCACTGGGCTGAGGAAGACGGTTCTCTTCATCCAAAATATCCAGGACTCCCACCAGCTTTGCTTCCACCAGGTCTAAAAACAGAACATCATGTATGTATAAGCAACATTATAGTGATTCATGGTGGAGTGCGGTGAAGCACTAGTATTAAAAGTATATCCCCAAAAGATGTCACAGGTTTGTGCCAAAATGTGAAATACTTCTTCGCAACATGTCAGAACTAGTTATATTTACACGCGTACGTTTCATTGAATGCGTCAGGGCATGTTTGGGAATAACAATAAAATATTTGAATCTCTGTTTAGGTTTTCAAGGAGCGGTAAGGAGGGAATCACAGTGGCCTTTCACAGAGACGTTTTTTTTTTAAAACACACACACAGAAACTGCTTCTGACTTTGACACTCATTGGAAATTCCTCCTGTTTACTGTTTCTGGTTCTGAATATTCAAGCACAAAAAACATGTTCATCAGGATCCTCATTTAGCCAAACATCTGAATTATTCATATTGCATCCTGTGTTTGCAATACAGTCTAATAGCCAAGGACCTCCTGAACAAAAAAAAAATCTACATGAACAAGCACCTGTGCATAAATCCTGAAGATTGATGAATGAATTAATGGCCAACCCAAATGGTCATTTGCAAGTCATAAATGTTATTCATGGCTGTCAGTTAACCTCACACCGGAATAATCGCAGCCTTTGAAATACAAATCAAACTGCCTCACCTTGATACTCTGACTACTTCATCCTATTAATGCTAGGAAACACTTGAGGACAGACGACCCAAACAAGGGGTTATTATTTCTCTGGATTCTCTTTGCACAAAGAAAGGCCATAAAACCCACAAAACCTCATTAGGCTTGCTCCCTTCAGACACATGGATATGCTTGTGTCTGCAATAATGAGAAGTTGGTATTTTTGTCCCCCTGACAGGTGTAGTCTCGTTGCTCTGACGTGTGGCCCCGAGCAGAAGGAACAGCCCAAATGAATGTGGGTGAGCCGATGTTCCATTTGAACCAAACTCAAATGCTTTTGGTGTGTGTGTAGGCGCTACAGAGGGACACACGCTGTCCGTCGTTTTTTGTTTTGCAACACAAGTCTTCAAAGGCAACACTTCATCTTAATGATGTCCCTGGGTGTGATTGGACTATCCTGTTTCCAAAGGTCAACTATTATGCCAGCACATGAACACAAACTCCTACATGTCTACCTTTAAGTCTGGTCAGAGGAAAGCAGACATCTCATTAGCTTTAACATGAGATAAATTAAAGTCACATATTATTTTCCCCTTACTTTTAGAAGGCAATGCCAAGATTTGTTTTTGAAGTTTTACTTTTTCAGAGAAACTTTTGAAAGTAGTGACATTTAAAAAACTTACTGAGTTTGAGGGTCAACAGGGTGCTAGCAGGAGGACTCACTAAGAGACTTACCTATGCAATCCTGGTTGTCAACATAATGCACCTCATTCACTCCCAGCCCCTCCTTTTGGTACAGCTCTTGCTCCTGCACAGACATGGAAACATGTTTCAAACTTCCCTGATGTACAACTGCTTCATAATTGTCTGAGTGGTTTCAGACAATCATCTTAGTTAAAAAACAAACACAAGATTTCAAACTGAAAAACAGACAGTTCAGATAATTAGAAAGAGGCTTTAACCAGAATCGTGTTGCATTAATTGGAGACCTTGGAGCAGAATAACGTTAAGAGATCACAGGAGAGAAACAAGCCTCATCGTGTCCCTTGAGAAATTAGCATTCTAATGAGAAAGAGCAGGAGAGACGAGGGGAAAATATAAGTAAGAAACCGGAGACGGTAAGACGGAGTAGCCAATCTCTTCCTTCTGTCTTGTTATGAAAGAGTCAGAAAAGTTTGGACTCACACATGCTGCTCACCCACCTCTTTTAGGATACGCTCATTGAAGAACTGCTGCAGTTTCTCGTTGCAGTAATTGATACAGAACTGCTCAAAGCTGTTATGTTCAAAATACTCTACAAGGAGGAAAAAATAGGAGAAGCAGAAAAAAAACATTTTTCAATTAATTTTCTAAAATGAAGATTTTTTTGCAAAGCCTGTGCTTAATTACACGGCAGCCTGGGGAAATTAATTCTCAAGTAAGAGCACTGGTAATGATGTGAGTGTATGCATTTGGATACTTATATTACGAAACAAGCCGCACAGACAAGTGTCTCTTTATAAGAAGGAATTAAAAAAAAACAGATGTAGGATATTTTCCTATTTATACTCATGCTAAGTCTATTTAATTAAGTTTAACTGGAACATGAACATTTTTTTGAACACTAACTGCATTTCATTACCAAACCCAGCTATGTCCAACACCCCGATGAAGTTGGAGGAGGTCTTGAAGGGGAAACACTGATTGACTCTTTTCACCACATGATCAAAGAGGCGACTGTACACCGCCTTGGCCAGGGCATCACGGGCATTGTTTGCTTGTTCCACCTTCAGAGGCACCCTGGAGGGAAACACAAAGTGGGGCAGTGAGAGACCGTCCGAAACTGGGACAAGCTAGCCTCTTGTCAAACCTCCCTCTTTTTATTTTTATTCCAATCAGCCCATTTTTCATGCGGCAGCAAAACTTTGGCTGTGTTGATGTGACTTTTTTTTGCCGCATAGTGCCATTCCCCGTCTGACCTCTTTTGTAAAGCTATGCCATCCTTTTTAAATTAGGGTCTCTGGGCCAAAGATGAGGTATTAAAACTAAAATGTGAACCCTGAACTCTACGTGATTCCCTTAAGGCGCTTTGACACACCTTCAATTTTAATCATTCAGAGGGGTTGAGCGTAAGGACAAAGTGCAGTTCCAAAGAGACCCAGAGTTCAGCCTCGCTGTCTCAGCTGGGAGAAAGGTGAATTTAAAATAAAAGGTCCGTTGTTTGATATGAATGATCCTCACTGACTTTTTTTTCTTTTGATATTCATAGCGACCAGTTCTCCTTAAAAAAGAAAAAATGCAAAACAGACCAGACCACCAATCCAAAAGTTAGGCACCCCATTCAGCCTGACAATAGGCTGTATTTTCTCCACCTCACTATGACCTTAGTCAGTCTTAGATTTAGTATTTTTAAACACATGTGATCCTTACATTCTATCAAAGTAAGAGGCATTTTTATCCATTGCAGTGTTTACATGTTCAAACTTGATAGGGACTCACTCCTGATGCTATCGTCTCCACCACCTCCTCTGTAACCCTCAGCCTCACAGGGGTAGGGGTGGATCTGTCTGGGCCTTAATGACAATGCCAGCCCCCCCCCCCCCTTCGCGCCACCTGCTCCCCAGACGCTGGGGCCCTTTACTATACAGCAGCCATGCTCGCCTGCCTCCTTAGATACGGGTTGCATTATTAATGTGGAGAAAACACTTCCAGGCCAGGCCGGCATCTGGCCCTCCTTAAATATTAATATATCAAACCTGGTTCCATCACCACCAAAATACATACATAGGGACAGTGACAATTCTGCACCACATTTTATGCAGTGAAGTGTAACTATGAAAAATATCCCCTCAAGAAATAGTAGAAAGTTTAAGGTCGTGGAAAAAAAACGCTATTTCAAATGATAGTATTTAATCTCATCATTTTACACAAAAGAGATCTCTAAATATTTCCTCTTAATGTAAACAACAACAGCTTTGTTTCTGCCTACATCAGTTAAATTATACTTGGTTTATCTCTGTCCGGTAGTTTAAGACATTGCATCAACTCTCTGCACCTGTTACAAGATTAAATTATCCCGCCAACAGCAACTGTGACCACTGAGTAAAGTAAGAGGATCGTGTTGTCTCAACAAAAACATTTTTTTAAAAGAAGTTGCACAGGGATCAGTGAATTCAATGCTTACTTGATAACTGTTCCTTTGGCGCCCCCTGCTGTTGTGAGCATGACTCTGGTTGTGAGACTGACACGCAAATCATCCTTGTCCAGGCCGAGCAGATCAGCGCAGTACTCCAGAGTCTGACCGGACTGATTCTTCAGGACACAACCACCTGAAACATTCCCCATCATATAACATTTAGTTCTTAAGAAGTGCAAGATCATTTATTTTCCACTGTGCAGGTTTACTTATTGAACCCACAGAGACTTTGACTGTAGAGACGATAAGCCAGAAACAGGGAGACAGAGAAATCTATCTCTGTAGCAGTTTATTTTTAATTTTTAAAAAAGATTTAAAATGATTAGTTGTTACAGCATCGTACTGACCTGAGGAGCTCCCTGTTTCCTCAAAGTCAATGTTGCCAAGATGCAGAACACCAGCGACCACCCTGAACAGGTCCAGCTTCTCAGTGTCATCCAGACCGATCTTCTTCATGGCCCCACACATCCTGTTGAAGTCTCCTTGGTCGTCCAGAAGAGGATCCTTCAGAGCGCCCACCTTCAGATGCTACAGCACGAGAGAGCGTTTTAATGATTTAGCCCACACTATTCAACATGAATGTGTTCAAAGAACCTCCACCATCACACTGCAAGCACAGCATGCTACCAACTATGGCTGCTCTGCTACAGTTTGTTATATGCCCTGAAACAAACTGTATTTGTCAAACAAAAATCAGACAAAACAAAGAATCTAGGGATAACTCAGGGATGAAGACATCAGAAGAACGTGGCAATAGCAGTGTAGATGTGTAATGAACAAGGGCTGCATAATTAATTATTTATGTAGAATATACAGTTAGAGAGAAGATCACTCAAGGGTCCCTCTACTGGGCGATGTCTTATAAACAAATATTAACTGTGAACCCGAGGAATTATAGAGGTCGTTTCAGCTTGTGGCCTTCATCGGTCTAATTTGTTAATAAAGTTGATCTTCTTACTACAATTCTGCTTCATTAACCCAGGGAATTATAGAATAATTATGCAGCCTTGTATCATATGACTTGAATAAGCAAACACACTTAGTACATTTCTATTCAAGCATCAAACAGCCCCAACCCGACACAAGCTCTACAGACACATGCGGGGAAAAAAGGAAGCATGCACTCTGATTTCCTGTTTGGACTACACACAGCAGCACGTAAACCTGAGCGTGTCAGAGTTTACGTCAGGAAACAAACAGGATCAGGGCAGGAAGCACAAAGCTGTGTTAAGAGAAGGGAGATTCACCTTATTGTCCTACATAACAGACATGAGGAAGGACAGGCAGACGTACAATGATTTCATTAGCAACATATTAACTCGTAATGTTCTTAACAACCTCACAGCTTACATAAACTTCCACTACTTAGGTGCTGTTTATTGATTCTATGAGCACACCCTTATCAATACCAAAGAGCTTTCCGTTTTTAAACAGGATCTACGTAAGATAATGTTTACATTTTCAAATTCTAAAATAAAACACTCAAAAACAATGACAGGAAATGGACCAATGAGATACTTCTAGTTTAAAAAGAACAGGTAAAAAGCAGGACTGGAACATCTAAAAATAATCAATCAATCAATTAAATCTAGAAACTTTCAGTGCAAAGGCAGATGACTATGAAAGAATTAACACCATGTCACTGCCTTTGCTCTTTGACATGTAATGTTCTCATACTAATGTTGTGTGTCCAGATAAAGAATGTACTGCATTGGAGTGACAGAGTACGGTTTTATACCTGCTTTTCGTAAAGTGTGTTGAGATTACATTTGTTGTGAATCGGCGGTATACAAATAAAGATCGATTGAGATTGAGTGAAGACCGATCATCACATTACCTCTGGACTCTTCCTGTTCTGCATGATCTGTTTATCAGAGTCTTTACTGGCAAAGTATCTGGTGCATCCCCGGTTCAGGTACTGTAATAGAGAAGAATTAGCTTAATAATATTCAAACATAATTAGTATTTTAATACATTACAATCTATTTTTTTCAGTATCTATAAGATTCACTTTGCTGTCTTCTGATATTGCTCCACAGCTGACTAGTGGTGAATCACATGAAGTAATTGCCTCTGTTGATGTGGGTGTCACCTCAGGGACCTGATACGTAATGACAGCGTGATAAACATCTAAAGGAACAGCTTGAGCTGCTTGTTGTTCCACTCGGTGTGGAGAAAACAAGGGCCGGGGAAAACACCTTTATGGTCTCTGACTTTGCAAGTGCTGGGTTTATGATTGTATTTGAAAGAAGGATTTCAATTGTAAAATATTTTGTTTGAGGGGATTGAAAATCCCTGGGAGGACTGAAAGATAAAAAGAAATGAATGTGACATCCAGTTGGCTTTCACAGAACAAAATAACTCCAAGTGAAATTAGCTTCAAAATGCTGATTTCTGTTTCTCTAATGTCTCTTTACTGAGAGATATTGATCCGGCAGACTGCATCTCTCTAAGCCCACTGACCCTGAAGCTGTCTGGAGAGTCCAGGTGCAGCCTCTTCTTTATGTCATCGGACGCCCCTGCACACAGCCTGTAGAAGATGTGGTAGTTCCGTTCTTCGCTACTTTGCATGCAAATCCTTGATTTCTCCAGCAGGTAATGCGACACAAATCCTCCCACAACTGCATTCTGGTGTCAAAGGAGAAGAATCACGTTTTACAAATCTTGCTGGACACACAGCTGCTTATAGACCAATCCAGAATTGAATCAGTGATCCCTGATTACCTTTTCATTGAAGTGGATTTCTACAAATTTCCCGAAGCGACTGCTGTTATTATTCCGGACTGTTTTTGCATTCCCAAAGGCTTCAAGGAGGGGATTGGCTAATATTCGAAATGGAACAAAAACAATAAGGATTAAACTAAACTCACAACATTAATATATATCTTTATTAATAGTATTTGATGTTTTTCATGTCTTATAAATGTGAAAGAATACCTTCTACAATTCTCTCGTCAATATCTTGGCCACTTCCATACGTTGTGGTGAGATATCTGCAGGATGAGGAGGATATTAGATACCAATGACATCAACAATGATAAGTATATAAAGTAAATCACAAGAGGATTAAATCACTTCAAACACACTCACCAAAACCAAATCAACAAGTCAAACAGTAAAGATTTCAACAGAAGCTTTCGCTTGCAGAGCTGCTGCAGCTGCTCAACAGATGTTTTCTTTGCATTGACAATAATGAAGAACTAAAGGCTGTTTTGACCAATTTGAACACGACTTTATGTCATGTGAACGCACAGTATCTAGTGAAGATGAAGGACAGGAAGTAAAAAGCATGGACACAGCCTAAATCATGTGTTGCTCATACCTCAGAACAAACTTGGTGTTTTCAGTCTTTCCAGCGCCAGATTCACCAGAGACGATGATGGATTGGCTCATCTTGAGGACCTTCATGTCCCTGTACGCTTTGTCAGCTAAAACATAAAAAAGATTATCATATGATGGTCATATTATGTTTAATAAAGCTTTGCAAAAATGTAGTGGTTGAGCTGCTACAAAGGATGCCAATTTGATTCCGATTCTGATTCAGACAACTTTTTAATTAATCCCAGAAGGGCAATTCAGTTTCACAGCCTGCCGAGTCTTTGAACGAAGCAAAGACAACAATCAGGAACAAACACAGTCACAGCAGCATTCAGAGAAAATCCCTCCTAAAAGATAACACATTAAATGACTCTATATTTCGTATTTGAAAGGTATCCACAATATGCAACAAGTTTCTCTTGTATGTAACAAACTTGGATCCACATTGGAACACCAGCTACTGGAATAATGTGGCAATGTAAGGACACATTGCCCTTTATAAACTAACTGATGATGTTGGTGTTGTTGAGTATGTATACTTCATTCTTTGTCGCTGTGGGTCGGACTTGAACCCGGGTCGCCGGCTTGGAGGACTACATCCTCCATACATGAGGCACGACCTTACTGCTAGGCCATGTGGCGCCCTTCTTATTACTTTTTATTATGTTCCAAGTATAACCGTTACTCTTTTTAAGTTCAGTTTCTAATTCGAGATTGCAGTATTATTCATCAGTGATTAGAAGGTATGGGCTCTTACCGATAGCGTACACATGAGGGGGCAGAGTTCCGAGGGACTTCCCCCTGTACGACTTTAGAGATTCAGCTCCATAGAGTTTGGGGATGTCATTGTAAGGATTCACAGCTATCAAGATGTTGGCCACATAAGTCTGCAAGAGACATACATACAAGTATGATTAGTGTCATTACATTAACAGAATATCAAAAAACACATCAATTATTAACTAATAGGAGACAACAGAGAGGAAAACGAGCTAAGTCAAGTCTAAGTGACACACCTTAACATGTCGCCCTGTCTTGCTTTTCTCATCTACCAGCTGTCCCTTATTTCCTTAGTGAGTGTTGGGATCAGGATTGGGTTTGCAACTCTGACTTTGTGACCCTTTTCTAGCCTGCCTTCCCTCTTTACCACCTGCTACTTTCCCCCCAAGGAGAAGAGGATAAGTATCCTCTCTCCGTCTGTCCTAAAACCTCTTGCTGTTTCTCCTTATTATGCAAACGGATAAATGTGACTTTTAACGACTGCAACAGCAGCTAACAAAAGGATTTAGAGTTGTGAGAATGCAGAGTAATTCAGATAAAGAAAACTTACATAGATGTGGTCTTTATTGTACCGCACTCTGACGTTGTTGAGAAGAGTGGCTTCATTCAAGTACATCAGTGAACCTGAAAACAGAAACAATAACAAGACAAAATTGAGTTATGTTTTAGAAAATGGCCCTTGCTACAAAAAAGCCTTAAATTTGTTTTGTCATAACTGAATCGGAAGTCCACTTACAGTTGTCATCTACAAGTTTGTTTACATCATCTTCTGCTGGAAAGACTTGGCTCATCGGAGCGAGAAAGGTCTGTAACGCAAGAGTTTTCATTATGAAGTCAGAGCATGACATATTCTGGACAAACAAACATGCGCCAAGTGACAATTTCTCTCTTCTTATCCTTGCCAACTTTATATACAGGATAAATCATTGTTTGCCACATGTTCTCTAAAAAGCTTATGAGACAAAACAGAGGTTGATTAGCATCCAAAAACAGGTAAACAAATTAGACATCATAAAAGCTAAGCAAGCATGCACAAACATGACTCATTCATCATGCTTAAAGATCACAGTCATGTAAATGTTTGGTGTGACATGTTCCCATCCTAAGTTAGCTACTGATATTCTCAGACTATTGTTTTAGGAGACTGAGTTAATGGAAATAAAGTCAATGGAACAAGCCGGCTGTGAGAGAAACAAGGGCAGACATGGCAGGGTAATGAATAATTTGGTGGGGGAGCAACTGGATCTGAACACCTGAGTGAGTAAGTGTATGAGGTGGGTGTGTGCGGTACAATGTCTGAGCTGAACTTGTAGGAACCAGTAAATTCAATGACGTATTAGAATTAACCAAATTCTACTGCTGGCATTGAAACAGGCCCAGTAAATAGATAAATGGTGCCTCTAAAAACAAAGCAAGTGACATCAGTGAAGCTGATTTTTCAAATGTTGATCATTTGTTTAGTCATTCATAAACTCCCCACATAAGACAAATGCTTGCATGTGTAATTTTGTCTCAGTGTGTGCTGTGATGCATGATTTATTACCACAAAGAGGCTGGCAGCATAAACAGAAACAGCTTTGTGTGCCAGGGCTCATTTCTGGACACAATAATAATAATAATAATGTGAGAGATGTCGAACCAATAAAAATGACAAAGAAGAAGAGGCGGCCATGCTGAGGGTTGTGTTGTGCTGAGGCACTAATGAGCTCCACGCCGCAGTAAAAACAGGCTCTCAATGAGCCTTTCATCCACATAGTGAATGAGGCTAAGTTTATGCCTCTGTTCATTCCAAACTCACAACTACTTCAAATGAGATTCACTTTAAACTCAGTGAAGTGTAGCTATAAATGTGTATCTTCATGAGTCATTTAGAGTGGTGCAGAGTGTTAATAGTATGCATTTGTCTGTCAGTAGCTTGAGATAATTGCTAATTTTCAATGCAACTTTGATTCAGCACGCAACTGGTGACATGCTGAGATCAGAATGAAGGAGTTCCAATTTCATTTTTTATCGTATTTGTTAAATCGGAATATAGCCTGCTGCTTACAATAAAACAATATATTTAATTGTAACCCCTGTAGAGTGATAAAGATAAAGATTTTTTCTAGGAAAGTGCAAGGAATTCATACTAATAATTGACTTTTTTTTTTAAAACCAGAAAGACACAAAGCTGTTTGAAACACATGATTTAGAGGAACCAGAAGATATCAGACCTGGTAATAGACACCTCAGGTGTTCTGTTTGACATTATGAATGGATATATTTCGTTTAGCTGTTATTGTGCATGCAGAGTCAATGGCATTACTTACTGGAACACTTTAATATGCTTCTTTAATGGACAAAATATTGGTGTGTATCAATGGGTCAAACATAGGGAAAAATACTCAAATGAATTATTCAAAAAGATGGTTGGATTTAGTTGCTCCTGCCTCAGGGTCCGGGTATTGTGCATGCTGGATGATTGCAATACTGCCATGATTGACTGAGTTCGTTACGTACCATTCTCCTTTATTTGAATGACACCTGTCCATTTTTACTTCTGTAGCAAGCCAAAATGTCACAGGTGAGAAAGGTCTATATGTTATCTGCCATGAAAACCCTTCAAACTAAACAAATTCAGAGTACACTTAGTTGTAAACATCAGAGGCCTGCTTGCTGTTGGGGACATGCGACGGCTCAGGTGTAACAGGTGGCTTTTACCTCCTAATGAGAAGCTCTCCCGCCAGGCAACACTATCAGCACACCTGCTGCTGCTCTCTTTATTTATTCATGCCTCTGAACATGCGGTCTCTCATGTTTCTCGAATTTTACACATTGTTAAGCTGACGCCTTTCTACCTGAAATCACACTTTAAAACAAGTAAGAGGAAATTACAGGAAACATGCCCTTTCATTTCTCACATTAGAAGTCCTCACAAAGTCTTGTGCACTTATTATTTGTGTCTGTTGCATGGACTCTCCTGGGATTTTTTGGGCAAACAAGATGGTAAGTATGTGGCCCAGTTAATGAATGTGCAATTCTCCCATGAATTTGCAGACCCAACGGAAAGGAGAACTAGCATGAGACCTTCACCCATTATTCAAGTTGGACTTTGCCTGTAAGTGGAAAGCTAGGGTGAGTGTGTGTCTAAGTGTGTGTGTGAGTGTGATGACCCACCTTGCCCTTCTGGTTCAGTGGCTCTATGGTAAGCGTGTCGGCTCCTATGTCAACGATCATGCCCAGCTGGAACCCGTCGGTGGGGTGGGGCGCCCAAACTGGCTTCCCATCCTCCATGGTTTACCTCCGGTCAGCACGACCACACTACTAGGAGACAAAAAAGGGGAAGAAAGCACACATGTTTTATAAAATATGTATGCAAATTAGTGTGCACAGTTTTGCATTTTCACTGGTGTACTTCAAACAAACTGGTCCCATTGCCTGCTCCCCAAGGTTTGTATAGTTACACAGTTCCTCTTTCCATCACAACTGACAAACAAAAGTTGAAGTTCAGTGATGTAACAACATAGGAAAGATTATACCCTGTATTACTCCCTACACTAGGGTTCTGCCAGTTAATGCACTAATCACCTGAAACAATGTATTAGCCCCCTCGAATATCAAATGATTCAGGTAAATTATCTTGTGAGAAACAACTGCAGTGCAGTGCTAGTTCAAGGTATAATGTTAGTCAAAGACATAGACAGTATAAAAAGATGGACAACATGACAGAGCCCGAAATTGAAACCAAAACATTTGGAGCTCCACTACTGACTGCATGCAGAATAGGTCATAAGCCTCCTCCATGTTAATTGTTGGGACATGGCTCATACTGTAAAATTACAATACACATTACATGGCTTCTTTAATTATAGTAAAATCTATTTTTATGATCCATTTGTCGGTCTCTAACATTCAACTCTAGCTCCGAGTGAAGTAACCAGTGCAATATATCAGTACCCATCACAGGCGGTAGTTTCAATGGCTTCATTTTTTGTACAATAGGAGGAAGTGAAGAAGCATTCCTCATCTTTATTTACAATCAATGATCAAACCTAGCAAAATGTAAGTAATCAGTGGTTTTTCAACAACTATATGTGTTTAATGGCCCTGTGGTATCAGAGCAAATACTCTATCGATATAGATCGATGCTCAAGTCTAGGTTTTGGAATCAGTCTTAGCAAAGAGAGAAATGTGCTGTAACAACTAATTCATTTCCTTTTAGGCCAATTTTTCAGTGTTGCTGAATGTTTTTTTAAGCAACTGATAATAATTTGCATTTTCATGCATCCCTTCAAAACATTTAACACTCCTAACATAACCTTACCAGTCATTTAATCTCTTGAAATAATGTTGTAGGTAAATATTTTTTATTTGACACAGTGCCTTATTAAATAGTAGAAATTATTGATAGAATAGTGTGTGAAATAACTGATCTACTTTGGCATTACTCTGCCGTCTGCAAGATTTGATTGGGACCTGACCCACTGCTGCTGTCTGCTTCGCTTTTCATTAACTTGTTACTTCACCTCCTGATCTTGTAAGAGCGGATTTTCAACTGGGCCTAGACTGGAGTTGTCACCTGAGGGATTCTTGCAATCTCTAGCGAGACGACACAACCCCCAGTGACCTGACATAAACTACCCAGGAAGACAAAAGATCTCAGGTCTGTCGGAGTATGTCCGGACTCTTCAGTGTACGAGCTAAAGAAGATGAACCAAAAACTGTGTTACACAACTAAAGCCCAAAATAAGCCAATTTCAAAGCCTTAAGTTGATTTAAGATTCCTAAGTCACCAACCATCTGGGTATAATTTGGAAGACAAAAACATTACCAACTGTGAAGAACAAGCAAGTTCCATCTAAATCTTTTGTTTTAGAGCATCTTCAGTCAAATGTGAGTTTTTACATGTTAACAGTTCTTTGGCATTTAATACAACATGTAACGGGTTCTGCAAGTAAAACGTACGGATTGGTATGCTTGAGTATCCAATTAGCTTTAGAGATTTGGGTCAAGGAAAGGATAGGTGCTGCAAGTTGCTGATGCAGCGTTCCAAAAGGACTAAAGTTTAACAGGAACATCAATTCAATGGGCAATGGCTTATCCAACACAGAAAAAAAGACAAGAGATGGTCTCTTTTGAACCTACCGTAGTTAATGCATGTCTTATGCATGATGTTCCATCATTTAACATTTATGATCACTATATCTACAGATAAGTTGTAACGAAACAATACATTGAAGAGCTTTTCTAAATATGTGATTCTGTGGTGTTCCATAAGAACTTATTTGCAAGCCAAGACAACCCATTTCCTTTTTCGCTGAACAAGAGATACCTTTCATGTTTGCACTTTCACTGATAAAAGTACAAGTGAGAGCAATCAGACCAGACTTTTACTGCTACATCTTGAAGATCATGTGATATGGTCCATAAACCTACATTTGGCCAATACACAATACACAACATATTTCCAGTCACTCGGAGAAGTTCAGGCTAAAATGGATAACTTATTAAAAAATGTAGATAAAAGTGAAAGTTGAAAAAAAAACAATTAATCAAATGCAATCACATTGCATCTAACATATATAATATATAAGTATACAGAAACAAAACAATGCCATCTATCTTATCTAAAGTAAATGACTTCACTGGAGCTCATTCCAAATGCAAATCAGGGCTGGATGTTATCATTTTCTCCATGAACAATGAATGTAATATAAGGGATGCAGTTGTCTCAGTTTATGGTTACATGGCCTATAAAATATAGGAGCAAAAAATCTTCGCCCTGTGTGGGCTGACAATAGAACAAGGGGGTATGTGACCCATCAAAGACCTGCCATTGAGGACAACATAACAATTCACTGAGAAGAAATATTCATGACTACTTATAAATGCAATCTTTTTGATCTAGAATTGCACATTTATTACATTATTATTTAAAATTACTTCAGTAATATACTTAAGGCTTCTTGAACCTTTTATTTAGAATGCAGATCATGTCTTGTTTACACACAGAGGTTTGTAAACCAGTCACTGAAGGCTGATATACAAAAGGGATTCTGCAGCATTCATTTGTATACACTAATTTAATGTTATATGCAAAGTACCGGTGGTGATCATTTGAATAGTTATTTTTTTTTATAACTGTAGGGTTGACCCAGCATGCTAATTTTCAACACATTTCAAAATAAGCATTAACTTAAAGGGAAAGGAGGAGGAATAGATCGATCTCCCTGTCAGATATCTTTAACTTACTTTTACTTTGATAGCATATGTTTTAAAATGATACAACCTCTGAATTTTATACGAGATATATTATTGAAAAGAACCAAAGATTTGAAGTCTGAAAGAGAGCAGCGGTTGTCGGTCCAAATTGGTCAGCAAATACTGACATTTCTCATGTCCTTTTGGCATTTCATGAAGATGCTAAAGTTATGTTACCAAATGTATGTCTCTCACAAACAGAGGGTAGAGAAGGTGACTATTTAAAGAGTTTGCAGAAGTTTGTTTAAAAACGCTGGTCATTAAAAGCAAGAAATTATCCAATATGGGTGATTATGATTATTATTTTGTGCTACAGATGTGTGTCTTTTTTACAAGTATATCAAAGTTTAAAATGCTGGTATCATAACAACTGTATGCCTTTGTTAGATGACTGATAACTTCTGTTCATCCGTGGTTCCCTTCTTCAGAGTATAACTATTGCAAGGCCACAGGGGACATAGGTTCAAAACAACATGCAATTCAAAAGCCTTAATAACTACACATCTTGATTAAAACTGGAACTTTACAATGAAGACAAAGTTCATGCTTTTTGTCACGTTAGTCTGTAACAAACTCAGTTCTACACATCTGTCTTTCTTATACACAGCCCAGCTCAATGCACCAGGAGCTTTGGGATTCTCCTTCTACTTTCAAAGACATCCAAACAATCTGTTTAATCTCTTAGGGAGACGTTCTTCAACCTAAAAATCTACAGAGGCATAACCGAGTGTAGGCAAACAAAGACCTGTCCCTCATGATGAGTATCTTTGACTCTGCAGGCCTCAATCCTCTTAGCGTCTGACCTTAATCCAGAATGGGAGGCGAGAGGTGAGATCCAAGCTTAGCAAATACAAGTCAGTGATCATTTGTGAAGCAGAAGAGATCCTGACACATATCCACAGAAACACAGACACAACAGAGAAAAGGAAAAACTAAACTTGACTGGACACCAGTTAAAGAGTTAAAGGGGGACACAAAAAGCACGCCTCCTGTTTCCTGCCTCTTGTTTCCTGTTCTCAGCCAGGCGAATGGGACATGGAAAATGTATTATACATTACAGGCCTACAGGATGAATAGATTTTCGGTTTTAAAGAGGCGTATTTAGCTAAGGTGTATAAATACATGTCAGATAAGGTAGAATTAAGCAACCAAAAGAGAAACACAGTGAAAACAATGACTGTGGTCATAAGGTTCCCTTGAATAAAGTACAAACATAATGTAGCTTATATAAACAAACTTAAGTAAAGCGTTTATGATTTCATGAAGGCAAAAAAAAATCAACAATATTTACCATCATACTGTAATCTTGCGAGTAACCTATGTTCTAAACAACATCCTTAATAAATACATTTAGACCTTATCGACCTCTTTTGTACAAGTAGCCCCTAAATGTACATACCCACTTAAAAAAAGGTAATTATAACTCCTTTGGGAGTCTGGCAGGAGCAGGTGCACTATGCAGGTAAGGCTTGTTATTAATTAAATTGTATCAAATTCAATTATACAGTCATACACACAGTATACAACAGAAACAACACTCACTCTATCAGCGTGACTGTTGAGCTGTTGCAAAGCACTTAAAACTATCTCTGAACCTGACTACCTGACTGGCTGTTCGGTCAAAAAAAACAAATGCAAAAGTTGGACAAAAGATGCGGTACTTACGACTCGTATCCTTTAAACTGTGAAATGTATGTTCAGGGCGACGCTTGTGAGTGTTAGGTCCCTCATACAGATGTGTAGCTGTAGCAAGTAGTCCAACTTCCTCGCTCTTTCTCTTCCCGAGGAAGGAAAGGCCACCGGAGCTTCGAGCTGCCTGGATGACAGTCTGTGCTCGCGCTCCGGTGAGCCCCAGTGACGTCACTGCGACCGTAGACTACTGTATTGATGAAGGTGCGTTGGAGTACTGCTCGTACGACCCCATGTCAGGTAGTTTTTAATGGCTATTACCCTCTGTAGTGCAGCAGAGGAGAGGTATTAATTTTATCTGAATTGTATATATCCAAATACGTCATGTATCCATCTGCTAACTACATGAAGAATTAATGAATTAATTGAATCCTTAGAAAAAAGAGAGCATGTAGCCTAACTATCTTAAAAAAAGACAGAAAAAATGATAAGAAATGTTTTTGATAAAACTTTGCTTGGACCCAGTTGTTACTTTTTTTGTTCATGGAATGTTTAAATATTATTCAGTATGTCAGTTTAAAGACCCTTTTTCTTTTACAACCCATACTTTTTATTTTATTTTATCATAAAACTAGTTGAAGGTTACATTAAGTACCCGGACGCTTTGTTTCTGGCTGTAGTGAAAAGACAGCAAATGTTGCCTTGAGAGTCATGAATACTTTATAGACAGGTAATCCAAACCTTTTGGGGGGATTTTTGAAGGAGACATCCAATCCTCCATTGAAAGCTGCCACTGGGTTTGTAAATCTAATTAGGATATCTGACACTCCTGTATTGGACCGTATCTGATTACTGACTCTAGATGACAGCATGTAAACATTAACATGACATTTAAAGCCCCAGTTAGTATTTGCATGACGTCATAAATAACCCATAAAGCAAACATTGGATACAGTATAAAGAATATATTTTGAAAAATGGTTATATTTATTAGCCACTAATGCAGAAAATAGTATTAGTTTTTAGATCCTGCAAACTTTTATGAATAAATCTTCAAATCCTTATTGTGCATTCCATACTCTCATTTATTCTAATTGATGTTATTTAATGAGAACGTACCAGTAAATGCTCAGCAGTTTTTAAAATCTAAACCAGTACTCAAAGCACTGCTCTTCTATGGACAATGGCTCCCTCATGTGGCTACAAAGAGGACACACAGATCTATTTATCAGGAACCAAATCCCAAACCAATTAACTTGCTTACATGAGGGCAGAGCAAAAGAGAATAGACAAGATGCTCTAGAGAGATGATCATCATCAGGAACCAGTGTACTCCAGGGAAATGATGGCAGCAAAAATGCTGTGCAAGCATGCATCAATATTGTAGTCAAGTAAAATCCTTAATGCTTCACTTGATGAGCTCTTTGACAAATTGAATTACACAAATCTTGCAGTCAAGCCTCAGATGAAATGAACATGATTGATACGATAACTCTTGCATTAAATAAAGTACATTTAATGTTGGAGAATGAAGCTTTGGCTTGAGGGCAGACTCTGTGCTGTTTCTAAGCATTTAACTACACCTAATTCAAATTATGATAAAAATTTGATTCAAGTCTTGGTAAGATTTTTGAAGAGGCATGTGCCAACATTTTATCAAATTTTACAGTTACATCCTTTCATTTAAATATTTAGGTTAAACTTGCATAATTTATTTATGTATGAATACAGAAATAGGCTTTACACATTTCTATTTTCAGAATACCTTAAGAGAATTAAGTCATTTGCGATCATATCATATAAACCATCGCTTGCAGTTGAAGCTATATTATCATCTATGCTGAATTTTTTGAGCCAATTTTGCCCATTGAAGTTCATTCAATACAATCATTTTTCATAATTGTGGTAAAGTACAGGCGGGCTATGTGTCAAAACAAATACCTAGAATAAATCTATACAATTATCAAAATGTTTGTTTTATCCATTCAATTCCATTACAAGTCGACACATTAAATAACTTTTCTACTTCGTGGACTGAGTTTGAAGTTGAGTCAGTGCATTTATCCGGCACCTCCTCTGTCAATCACTTCACTATTTTCCCAGCCAATTATCTATGAGGCCCGAGCTGCTTTAGACTTTATCAGCAAACTGTTTACAAATTTCCTATCACACACATTCTGTGGAGCCAGTGGAGGAACATGAAATGTCTCTGTAGGACCACCAGCGTTCAAATCTCCTACAAGTCCATGCGAGCTGGCGAATATTGCTCTACTTCCTTTGCTGAAACAACTCTACTGGTAGGCCATCCGGATTTTGGAATACTCTATCTTCTCACTGTTTTTTTAAGGGGGTTTATTTTTTTAATATCAGTGTTGCTAAGTTTATAACGGAAAAATATAACCTGATCTATAGTCTGATGGATGTTGCTTCCTTTGAATCAAGCAATAATCCATCTAGAAGTTCTGTATGAATTCTCAGATAAACATTATTTTTCTCTTGAACTTGGATTTTTTGCTTCGATGTGTGGTGTAGGTGTGCATCTACCAGAAGTTTTTCAGCATAAAAAGCTGTCTTTTTTTTTGGCACAATGTTGCTTTTATTGTTTTTTTATCAAAACAGGATGTTCACTCATTGTATTGGGCAACGGTTAAATTGCAAAAACCAAATGTATTGTCTGCTGAATGTACAAAAAATATAGAACAGAATTGAGCTGTAATACTTCTGTGCTACTGAAACAAACTTGAACTTCTGAAGCCACCTCTTTGTTTCTTATATAAAATAATAGAGAACAGACATCTGGGTCAATTTGAACTGTTTTTAAATGATTCAGAATATTCTTATCTTCTTTCTCCAGTAAAGCATACCACTCAGCCCATGTGAAGGATGGTAGGAAAGCAGCTGTTACTGCCCATGATACTAATATCTGTGCTGACATCATATGGGCAGCAATTCGCAGAGGAGTCCTGCACTGTTCAGATCCTGGTCCCTGGACTTAAAGGCATTCTGCAAACTTTCTTAAACACACCATAGAAAGGAAAGAAAAATGGGACCCTTTCTTCATGATGTCTTTTTTTTTTCCTCTACTATCTTCTGCAACAAAACAAAAAAGGAGAGCCAGGAGAAAAGGGACAAAAAGGAGTACCAGGGCGTCCAGGAAGAGTAGGACCTGCTGGAGAGACAGGTACAAGTTTTTGATACTTATGCACTGAAAAACATTCATCACACTCAAATGTATGCATTCCCTCACTCTGCACTATCGCTAACCTGAAACTAAAAGAACTGGGGTAAAGATCACATTTCTTGAGCTGATAATGTGCTGTTACATCACCAGCCATCCAGAGATGGCTTAGTGTTTACATTGGGGTGAGAGGTTGGCGGAGAGATGATATGAGGAATCCACTGCTGTGAACGAGTGTTTACTGAAGAACCTAATGAGGAGTGGAGGCTGTTGACATACTTTTTATGGAGCTTACATAGACCCAGAATTGTATTTAATCTTCCAAGGTGAATACTGGAAGCTAATGTGTATATTTTAATTTGTTCAGACACAAAAACAGAGATTATGGGTAAATGCATACTATCAGAAGTAACCAATACCATTCATACACATTCATACACCGCTGTAGGAGCTGGGGATCGAACCCCCGACCTTCCGGTTGAGAGACGACCAATTCTACTGAGCCACAGCCACCTCAGTGCCTTTTTTAAGCAGATCACACATTAACAAAACAATCCCTATAATATACTTTTTTCAGGTCAACCTGGTTTTAAAGGTCAGAAAGGCATAATGGGACGTTATGGAAAAGTGGGCCCAAGTGGAATGAAAGGTAATTTAAAAAAATGCAGAAACATGCAGTATATTACAGTATGTTCCTATGTGATGTTTATGAATAATTACATATCAAATCTCAGGGGTGAAGGGCTACATGGGTGATCCAGGTCCAAGGGGCCCTAATGGAGATCCAGGTGAGATTGTTTGATTCAGATTGTAGAATAAATTATTGCAGGATTATACAAAAATGTTTGGTGGTATGTGTGTGTGTGTGTGTGAATCCTCCACATTTTTGCCTTATCAGGTGTTCCGTGTGAGTGCACATCACTCAGGAAGATGATCGGAGAAATGGACATTATTGTGGACCAGCTCTCTTCTGAACTGAAATTCTTAAAAAATGGTAAGATCTAAGCATTCATCTAAGCAACATTCTATCTCTGTACTTTTGATGTCACTTGCTATAATCATATAATTGCACATGGTGGGAATGTCAAAGTGAAGTTTATAGAAATACAAGTGCTCATTTTTCAGCACTGCCCTCCCCTGCAGCTGTTGCTGGCATAAAAGAGACAGACAGTAAGGTGTATCTGTTGGTGAAGGAGGAGAAACGCTACGCCGACGCTGAGATCTACTGTCGGACGAGGGGAGGGCAGATGGCCATGCCCAAAGATGAGGGAGCCAACGCAGCCATCGGCGGGTACATTTCCGAAGCGGGTCTAAACAGGGTCTACATTGGGATCCATGACCAGCAACGTGAAGGCGTGTTCACCTACGCCGACCTCTCTCCCATGACCACTTTCAGCAAATGGAGGAAAGGAGAGCCCAACAATGCCTATGATGACGAGGACTGTGTTGAGATGGTGGCTTCTGGGGAGTGGACGGATGTGGCGTGCAGCCCTACCATGTACTTTGTTTGTGAATTTGACAAGGACAGTGTCTGAGTTCAGTCTATGTTAAACATACTGCATACAAATGGGAAAATTTAACAAAGAAGTTCTATATATTCTATTTCTTTTCTCTGTAAATAGGATGACAAAATGGCATGCTCAATTGTTTGACCCTTGTTGGGACAGACAATGAGTTATCTATCCATCTATAAGTTCTTTAACCTCGTGTATTTTCTATTTTTCCCCAATAATCTATTTATTTCTCAGCCCATAAAACATCTGGAGTAGGCCTATTTGTTCTTTTAGGGGAATGTTCCTTATTTTAAGAACCCACTTAATGTCACACTCTGTTTCATTTCATTCACACAGCATGCCAGCTAATGTATTGGGTTTTTGCTATGTTATACAAACTATTCACTGAGCACTATTTGCAGCAGTGCCGTCATTAAAAAAAAAAAAAAAAAAAAAAAAAGCCCATATAGAGCACTGTAGTTTGCGAATAAAATATGAAATTGAAGAACTTTTGGTTTCATGGGTCAGAGAAGTT